GTTGAAACCTTTTCGGCTTCAAGTGAGTTGCCTCGCTTTGAACACCGCAACACAAGTTATAAACTCAGGCAGCACTTTCCTTTTCGAATCGAAATTCCACCTAAATTTAGCGACAAACGCAGCCAACAAATTTCTCGAGTCATTGAATTGCAATATTTCAAGGTGGGGGGCAAAATGGGAGACCCCTTGCTTTGTTTTGCTTTTGTTTTTCCTTCTCCCCGCCAAATTGGTCTGCAAAACACAACATCTACGGCGAAGACAACAAGTCGACAATAACAACAAATAACAGCAATAAACAGTCAGCGATTTTTCAGCGGCAAGTGCAATGAACTTTTCCCCCGAAACAAGCAAGCGCCAACCACAAAATCTTCGCCACTCTTCTCTTTCAATCTCCCAGATTTCCGTGGAGTCTGCGGCATTGTCTTTCAGAGTCGGAGCACCGAACTCCCCTTTCTCAACCCACCGGCGTAGTTTTCAAGTTCAGATGTAAAACAGTGGCGTTACTGGATGTCGCCATTTGCCGTTTGCTACTTGCCATTTGCCATCTGAGATTAGATCATCGCCTGCGAGTTGAGTGAGCTGAGCGCGGGCGTTGCGATGATGGCACTTGGAGTCGAGTTTTGGGATCGGATGACAGCATTAAGGCGACCGAGAAATATGTGGCCATGTCAAGTGGGAGTGCTTCAGAATGCTTCTAAATGGATGTTGGATGGGGAATGTTGAATGGGGAGGAGTTTTATTTGGAGAACGACATTCCCCTTCATTCGCATAGCTTCGTCGTTTTGATTAGACAGTAATTGTAATCTTTGGGGGCTTTAAAAATTAATACATATATACATATAATACCACCAATTAATGCGCATTGAAGCGATGGAAAAGTGCCACCAAAGATTCCAAAGGTAATTGGGTCACAGCGAGTGTCTCACCCTTCCTGAAAAAAAAAAACCGGTCTCGTTATGGTCAACAGTAATCAGTAATCCTCTTACAGTCGTATATTGATTTCAAATTGGTTGGTTCACATGCCGATTGAAAATGTGGCTGGAGGGTTTTTGCTTCAGGAGTCTAGTATGTATTAATTATATAGGAATTCCCTTTGAGTTTCTGCTGGTTAACTTTGCTCCAGCTAAATTGGCACAATGCGTGTCATCTGCACTTAATCATCGTCTCAGGCTGGGGATTAGTACGGCTCATAATCAAGGGGCGGCTGATGCAGTGGATGATGAGGTAATGCCCCACACGCGGCTCTCACGATGCCTCAAAAGTACTCCCCTCTACACAGACAGAAATCCGATGCGAGTCGTATGGATATGAGAAACAAGTACGGATCCGATTCGCTCCGGGATCAGGCATTTCGTATTTCATATTTGGGTTGACCAACCGGGGATCGGTTATCAGGTTCGAGTTTGTCATTCAGCAAAGATGAGCTTCATTTAGGCATTTCTCCGGCTTTCTTACCCCATTACCTATTACCTCACCATCATCACCATCATCTCTGTATTCCACATCCATTCGCTTTCTCATGCAAATACCTCCGATGGTATCAATAAACCCTGACAGTTTACGACCCATTTGAAGATGGTCATTGATTCGGTGTTAAAAATACATGTGTGCCAGGCATTCCGTTCTGGAAGGCCTTTGAATTTTGAATTCGGTTGTTTTGTAAGCGAAACAATCAGTGAAACAAAGGCAAGTGTGCGGCAATCGTGTGTGTGTGTGTGTGTGTGTGTGTCAAAAATAATTGCACTTGGTTTTAATTTTGGATTTCTGCTTCTTTTGTTGGCCAAAAAAGCGAGAAAAAACCATTGCAATTGCAGTTGAACAACTTTACGCTCCATTCAGCATTAAAATTACTTTGTGCCACTTTCAAAGCTATTTCTGCTGCTACAAAAGCAAAAGCAAAAGCAACTGCTTCTTCTGCTCCTCCGGATTTGATTGTTTTGCAGTTTTTCTTTGTTTTATTAGCTATTTTCTGTTTTCTGTTTAAAGTTTTCTGGTTGCAACTCCTGTGCACTTTGCAGCTCTTTTCCACTTGCAACGGGCACCGCAACTGGTGGGATATGAGTGTACGAGTGTACACATTCTGGGGAATGTCGCTAAAGTCACGAATGTCATGCATCAATTGCAGAAGAAACAGAACGCGAATGGAAAACGATAAAAAGTGAAGCAACCGCAAGAAAAGCTGCCAGCTAATTGATAACAGCAAGGAATGCAATCGGATGGAACGAAAGAAATCGGACATTCGGTATCGGGAGAAAGGTGTTTACAGAAGACAGTATCTACCTGGTAAATCTGGTGAATCTGGTGAATCTGGCGAATCGCTCATCGATCAGGAAAGCTCATTCAGTTCGCATTCCAAGCACAGATCTCAACTCCAGTCAAGCAATTCGCTTTGTAGCCAAATTCAAATGCAAATCCATCGAGCAAAGTGAACAGTGGCAATAACGATATTCTGGCGATTAACACCTGCCGCCGGTGAATTTCACACACCCCGCGTGTCTCATTAACCCCTTCGGCACGCCAGGCTCAGAAAAAATCGAAAACACTTTCAATATAATTGCGAAAAGTATTCGAAACTGTTTTCGCTGCCTTTCTCGGGATGGGATAGCAGCATGCCATCATTTAATGGGGTTTCGACGGGGTGATCTGCGTATGCCCCGGGAATTTTAATCATATTTCTCTTTTCGTACATGCTTAATTATTTGTTTTTTGCGTTTGTGCGGTTTTATTTCTCATTTGGCTTTGCCAGCCCCACGGAGGCCAATTTGGTTTCCATTTCGATTCGATTAACGAATCGAACCGGCTTACGATCCAAACCGAATCGATGGATACCCTCGAACTGCAAGTAGTGCAAATGGATTTGCATTCCAAAAAGCAAGAAAGTTCTTCGAGAAGAGCAATTCAAGTAACTCATTTCTTAAAGTGATTTATATTTTGACTAATTTTGGATTAATTTTCTGGACCATTTCAGCTGAGTTTGTACTTCATTTTCTATGAGCTGTAAACATTATGGTGCTCTTAAATTACAGGTTTTACTCATTTCCGCTTTTTGGCCAAACATTTCCAGCCTCTAGGGTATTTTACTGGCTGGCAATATTTTTTATTATTATTTTCGGGTTAATTTTCTTCGTTTTTCGGATAGTAAACGTTTGATGTGATTGGATTAGAGCGGAGTATCGAGTATAAAGTGTGGAGTGGATTGCAGTGGAGTGGGGATCGGATCGATTCCGGGCATTTGGCAGCCACTCAAGCGTCCTACTTGCTATTTGTTGTTGCTGCTATTGTTGTTGTTGTCTTTGTTGTTCCGCCAATTATTATGGCCAACAGTTTGTCCGTCCTCGGCCGTCCAAAGTCGTTTGTTGTTAGTTGTTAGTTGTGAGTTGTTTGTCGTTATGTGCAAGTGTTTTTCGCTGTTTGGTTTTCTTGCAATTTCACTTTCGACTCGAGCCGGACTCGCTTGATAGTTGGCGATGCCCAGGCTTTGGCCATGGATCTCCACTCTCCGCTCTCCGCTGTTAAATCCCCGATTGATCGCTATCTGCAATCAGGGCGAGAAGACAGGGGACAGCAGGCCCAGCTCGCTTTCTCTGCGGATCTCATCTGGAGTCCGGGATGCAATCAATCCGAGCGATGCGCATGTCCAAATGCAGATACTTTACATGGGGGACCACACCCAGATCTTTCATCAAGTGGAAAACAAACAGCGACCAAATAGAGATACAAGATACCCGGGCATCTTGCTACTATATCTCTCCGTAGATCTACTTGCCCCCCGCGAACCCCCCGCACTTCCTTCTTCTGCTCATTTCTAATGCCACTCACTTGAACACACGACCATAAAAAGAACCACAAAGTAAAGAGAAGAAAACGCAGACAAATTTGCGACGAAGATCTCAAGAAATCCCAAGATCGAATTTTGGTTGCCCTAGAGAAGCTGCAAGCTGCTTTGGGTGGCAAAAGGTTCTTAAAGTTTGCGCACTGCGCCGATTTAAAAGTTTGCCACGCCCTTTTTGTTTTCCTGATAATCAAACTTTATTACCTACTTACGTTTAAAGAAGAACGTTCTGTATTAGAAGTACCATAGTTGAAGTTCCCCAGAACTCGAAGGGTATTGTTCCCTGGCTTTCAATTAGCCCGCTTCAAGTCACGTCAACTCGCGAGTGGAGTTAAGTACAGCGAAGTCAAATCAAGTCAAGAGCCAGAGACAAAAGACCGAGGCGTGAAGAGGTCTTTGATGTCTAAATCGCGAGACCTGCCCCTATATCATCTTCCCTCTGCCAGAATCCCGAAAAGCCCAAGAAGAAGTCGCAGCCGAAACTCATTCCTAAGTCGGTCGTTCTGAGAGCCAGGCGGAAAACGTTTCCGAATCCCAAAGTGGCAGACTCGAAACGTTCCGAATCGGAATCTCAAATTACTTGAGCAATGACCTCAACTTTTGTCTTCTTGTCGTGTGTGTCTGCCCGGAATTTGTGATGCGATGAGCGTAGGGAGAACAAAGGAACCGGGGAGAGATCTTCCTCTTCCAGAACAGGATCCCGTTTTCCCCTTGCAACTGCCCCCTGACCTCGTCACATCGTATTTGTATTCGCATTCGCATTTGAGATATCATAACCCGCATTCCCAAGACTCCGTTCCGAATCCATTCAGCTAAGAACTGAGAGGAATGTTTGCGTTGTTTTCGCATAATTATATCTGTCGTTTTATTGTCTCTGCTGGTTAAATGGAGATTGATGGCTTTCAAGCGATTCGGCACGAGCTCAGGTTTCGCCAAAGAGATCTTCAAGATCTGCGATTGCCGCAGCATGCTAATTTAGCGAATTCACCGAATTCCAATGGGAGGGTGGGTGTCTGGTGATTGCTGTTTGGTGCTTGGTGGGCCAGCACTCGAAAGATTCGGCATTGGGACGGGCTCTAGAGCCTATGCTCTAGACCCGTTTGCTGCTGGCTGCTTTAAAACGAGTCTTAGACCCCCAGATTAGGCCACAAGTATTGATTTAGCTCACCTTTCGGCAGGGGTCCAATTTTAAATTCAAATTCGCGTTGGCTCGGCTAAAAATGTGAAACGAATTCAAAACTCTGTTATATAAACCATAAAAAAAAATGTACAAAAAATAGTGTTTTGTATATAACACGCGACGCGAGCTGAAGGATTTTTTTCGGCAAAAAGGTTTTGCTTCTTTTTCGTATGGGGTTTCGATTTCGGTTTCAGTTTGTTTTCGGTTTTGGTTTTGGTTTTGGTTTTGGTTTTGGTTTACCGATTTCACGCACAGTTTGGCCAAAAGCCCAGCTTGTTTTGGGTGCGACGAAGAGGGGATATACTCGATATATCTCTCTCTTTCCCTCTCTCTTCTTAACGCTTAACTCTGATTCTCTGCGGTATATATACTATATGTTTATCCGCTCTGCGACTTCGTTGGCTGAGCTCGAACCGAAGACTGGCGGCTTGGTTTTCGGATTGTTTTGCTGGATCGCGCGAAGAAACCCGAAGACGCAGTCACGTAGACGAGCTCCCTCGGCTTTGGCCCCACCGCCCAAAGTCTCGTACTGCGATCCCCTGCAACTTTGTTGCTGGTTGCTGGTTGCTGTTGTTGCTGTTGTTGCAGCCCCTTCGCCTTTGCGATCGTGTGGATCAGGCGACGAAATGTCAAACGGTCGCCGGGGATCCTTAACTGGTTTTACAGTTGTAACCCGGCAAAGGCAAATGCCTTCAGTGCGAATATTTCCCCGATCCCCGAACCCCTCTACTGGCTTGATTTTGGCGTAGCTCAACCTGCTACAAAAGGAGATTTTCAAAGTAAAAACACTAATACCAAGTTTGGGAATCTTTTGGCTTTGTACAATCTTCAAACGCTCCAAATGCAAAAAGTGGTAGGAAATGGCAGATCGATCTCTGGTATTTGGCCTGCTAGCCATCCCGTTGCAGCATCGCTAATGGCTCCTTTCGCCAGCATTTCTCCGCCTTCCGCTTGTGCCAATTTCTGCGATGGCGTCCCCGGGGGAAATATGAAAACTCCGCTCGAAATGGAGCAGAACCGACGACAGTTCGAAGCTGGACAGTTGTGGCCAATCAAAGAGGCGATTGCAGTGGAAAACTGCGCACCGCATGGAATGCAGAAAATTGGGAAACGGGAATGGGAATGGCTTTTCAGAATGGGAGCAGCACTGGGTGGCTGGATTGCTCTTTTTCCCCCCCAGTTGTCCACTGAGAGAAACCTGCAAGGCAAGAAAAACTTTTAGCTTGGCGAAAAACGGGCGAAAGGCGGTTGGGGAGCAGATCGGTTCCAATTGCAATTGGCCAAGTTGACCGAAAACCTGTTGACGCTTTGGGAAAAGCTCAAGAAAAGCCAAGAGAGGAAAATATACACGCCGAGAAATGGGGGGCACTTCGGGACTGATACAACAGGACTGCAAGGGAAATCTTCCAGCAACAAATAGTGTTTTTAATGCTGGAAAATAAGTGGATAGGTGGGAAAGCGATCTGTATTCCTGCGCCCTCGGTTTTCGGTTTTCAACTCGCTGATTCGCCGAGAAGAGAGGCGCCAAAGGAGTTGCCACTTGGCCGCGTCGCTCGAGGAAAAACACGAAACAAGTTTTTCCAGTAGAAGTCGGAGGAATCTGGCTCATCCGCAGCTGCTCGCAGAAATATAGACAAGCTGGAGAGAAAAGGAAGGGGGACCAGCGGAGAAGTTGTCAAGAATCTCGAGGCGAATCGATCAATAACCTTTTCATTAAGTCCACCGAAGGGAAACGAAGAAATAAATGTCGAAACGCGGCGGTGATGATTGCGCCTAAGATCAGTGATCCAGCGATTGAACTTTGCCAGTGCGAGTTGTTTGAAGTGGCTTAAAAGCAAGAAAGCAGAAGGTTTATCTATCGATTATAGCCTTTAATCTCCAGTTAACTCGGATAATCCTGCTGGCTTCCTCAATCTCTTGGCTCACCCACGCACAAATAAATATTTGGTAAAACGCGAACGAAGCGAGGAAAGCATGAAATTGCCTGTAAATATCTTTCACCCATTGCAAAAGTTGTTTTGGCATTTTTCGAACATGCTTGTTCGTTGTTTTCCTTTTTCTTTTTTTACTTTTTTATACTTGTTTACATTTTTTACAGCCCGCCAAGTTGGTGGGCAAACTGGTTTTCGATTTGCAAATATGTGGGCATGGTCATTATTAAATTGTGCGATAAACGGCAAATCGAACAGGGAACGCATTATACAGACTGTGGGAACTATACTCATAGGATCTGCAAGGGTTTTCCCTTTTATTTTGGCACTTTTCAATTAGAATCAAGCAAACAACTCTAAAATACTTTTGTATTTTGAATTTTTCTTTTCTTTTTAAACTGCACTTTTTCTTTGCTTTCACAACGAAGGATTTATTTTCTCTGATTTATTCACGAAAAAGCTTAACAATTGAAAAAAAAAATGGAATATAGGGATTCCTTTGGGATCCAAATCCTTTCACCAGCCACCTGCGTAGGCGTTCGCCGAGGCCTTGGCGTAGGCACTACTCCCACCGCCTCCTCCTCCTCCTCCTCCGCAGGAGTGGCAGCCATTGCCTCCTCCTCCTCCGCCGTAACTCCAACTATTGGCACTGCTGCTGGCGTACGAGCCACTGCCACCTCCTCCTCCTCCTCCTCCGCCGCCGCCCCACTGGGAAGGTCCGCCGCCACCGCCTCCTCCGTGGAAGCCCTGGCCGCCACCGCCTCCTCCGTGGTAGCCACTGCCACCTCCGCCTCCTTGGTAGCCACCACCGCCGCCTCCGTGGAAACCTCCACCACCTCCTCCGCTGCTGTACACTGGCTTGAGCACGTAGACATCAATGGTGCTGCCTCCACCTCCACCGGGGTAGCCACCGCCTCCTCCTCCTCCGTGGTATCCTCCCCCGCCGCCGCCATGGAACCCTCCGCCGCCATTGTAGCCGCCTCCTCCTCCGTGGTATCCACCGCCTCCTCCGTTGTAGCCACCACCACCACCGTTGTAGCCCCCACCACCTCCGTTGTAGCCACCACCTCCTCCGTGATAACCACCGCCTCCTCCGCCTCCGCCTCCCCAGCCACCGCCGAATCCTCCGCCGCCTCCAAGTCCTCCGCCAAAGAGCAGCTTCTTCTTGAGGCCGAGCAGCGAGGGCGTGGTGAAGTCCACGCAGCTGGCCAGGATTAGCAGCCACAGGGCGAAGAGCTGCCAGTGACGCATGTTAGTTAATTTGTAGCTGTCGCGGTTGCTGTTCCGGTTCCGGTTGTCGATGCTCCTCCAATCCGTTCTCTGCGAAGCTAAGCCCGGTGGTCAACTAGTCATCGGTCTGGGGAGTGCATCCCTCTTTATATTTGACATCCATTGTTTGCCGTCGCATCGTTGTCGTCATCGCTGGGAGCCATCGAATTCTCTCAGGCGATCAAGTTCGACAAGATCGGGGGAGTTCGACTTACACAACGATATTGTTTGCCCGCCGGCCCTAAACATTAATTACTCAATGGGTCACTGGATGTTCTAAATCGGGGACTCACCAATGCTCTGACTATTTATACTTAAATTTACCCTATGAACCCCGTTCTCCCGACCCCAAATATTCTATTTAAGCCGATGTAATTTCTGTATTCACCATACACTTTAAGGAGTCTACCGTATGTCCAGAATATTTTTATTAAACAGGAACACATTTAAATTGCGGCTATAGCAAAGCTAATGCTACTGTTCAACAATTTAAAAGTATTTTGGAAAGCCGAATAATTAGGTTTGTAAATACAAAACAAAGTATTAAGTATACGTATTACGTATACGTACCTTTTTACCTTATCAAATGGATATGTTTTTTCCCACAACTCTATGAAAAAATGTAAAATCAATGTGCATTGAACCAGAAACAGTAAGCCAAGATGATACAAATTTCAGGTATGCCGCAAAATCAGGCAGAGTATTACCAATTATATGCATGACATCTGCTGGAAAATCCCTCTTACTCATCTGCAATATGGGAGAGAATCAGAGATTGCAATCCACCGGGGAGAGGCGAATCCAGCATCGCTAACCGGGTTTTAAATTAGAATCAAGGGTGAACTGAGCATTAACTTAGACCAACTAATGGCCAGAAAAAATAGTTCAGCAAACGTTTTTGTACTCTTGTGTTTGGTCTCAAGTTCAGTTCCACTCAAAGAAAGAGTACTCCGCATTCGTTGGGGGAGTCGATTATTTTATTCCGAAACTAATCAGTATGTGAGAAGCAATTGGCAAGCTGAGCTGCATAAGTTTATTTTGTAAAAGCACAAAAATCCCCGCCTTTTAAGCAGTTGCCTCCAGGAAGCCCCAGTGGAAAGCGGATTCTTTTCCAACTGACTGGAAGTCCCAAATTTCCTCGGCTTTCAATCGTGGGCATCCGGTTCACAGTACAATTTATAGTTCTTGGTACCCCCAGTAAAATACGGTGTGTTTTAAGCTTCAGTTTATAAGTATTTAGTTAAATGAGACAGGAGTCGTTTGAGGCTAGATTAATACAATTAATATTCAGGAAAGAAATTCCGTGGAAAGCTGCTTAGGTCTTGATGGCGATTCGGGTTTATATAGCCGCTCGATCGATCAAAGAACTAGTCAAGTCATGTCAAGTCAGTCCGCAGCATACAAAAGCCAATAATCTTTATATTAAGCAACAAGATAACTTGATAACGTTTAACCGAGAGGGGTTCATTAATTAGGTGGGTGCCATTTGTCATTTGTAATAATATGCCGCGGTTTTTAATTCCAAAAAGTTTGTAAAACAATGCACTAATCTGTATCTACCTTTTTAAGCTTTAAAGTCGGTACAACCAAGTTTAAAATTATATTAGAGGTCGACCTTGATAACGCCTCAATGCCATCGACTTTCTCCTTCAATAAAAAATGAGGGAGAGGGCAACAAACATTAAAGCAAATGGTGCCAAACACTTTAATTGAAGGGCTACCACGTGCATATAGAATTAAACTACCGCAACGATCAAGAGTTCTCTTAACTGAATAATCGTATGCATAAACTGGATAGCTAGGGAAGGCACAATCAAAAAAGAGCACCCTTTCATGAGTTAAATAGGTCGTACAAGTATTTTGCGTATTTTGGCAAGAATACTCGTTCGGAGACTCAGATTGGCATAAATGCCAATTGATTTGCTATTTGCTTAAGTCGAAATACTTGCATGTTTTATTGGCTTGTTATACCTTTGCAGAGGGTATTGTAATTTCAGTAAGAAGTTTGCAACGCAGTGAAGGAGACACCTCCGACCCCATAAAGTATATATATTCCTGATCAGCATCACCATCTGAATCGAAATATGTACGTCTGTACGTCTGTCTGTCTGTCCGTCTTCAAACTAGTATCTCAGTTTTAAAGCTATCTTGCTGAAACTTTCCCAAAAGTTGTGTAGTTATTGCAGAGCGAACCGGATCGGGCGACTATATCGGATAGCTCTCTTGTACGGGAGTGATTGGTCTCGTTAACTGTGGTCATAAGGTGCTCAAAACAGTGTTTGGTTCCGCTGGAAGTAACTTTTTGGCCCTATTACAACCAAAAAACCACTAAAAATATAGTGTTTTCTACCGGAATTGTCAACGGATCTTTCCCAAATCAGTTTTTATGAACTAACTAAAGGATCAGTTAAATAACAATTAATTTTGCATTCGGTGGCATGAATTGCTGGGCTTTTCTAGTTTACAAAACTATACTTTGTTTGGCTGTAAGTTGTTTCTTGCCCAAATAACAGACAAATTACCAACGGAAAATGTTTTTTTTTGCCCAAAACTACAAAAAATGGCTTTAAAAAAACCCAGTTTTTTTTGGAATATCTGAGAAAGTACTCTCCCAAATGTGGAGTGGCATACATCGTTGAATTCGTAATAAAATTCTGAATCCGATGGTATAAGCACCCAAAAAAGTTGAAATTTTGCCATTTTTCGCAAAAAATGATGATGTTACCCCTTATGAAAATGGCGAAAATTGGCCAAAAATCATTTTTTTTGAATCGTCCAAAAAGTGATTGGGCTCGTTAACTGTGGTCATAAGGTGCTCAAAACAGTGTTTGGTTCCGCTGTAAGTCACTTTTTGGCCTTATTACAACCAAAAAACCCCTCAAAATATAGTGTTTTCTACCGGAATTGTCAACGGATCTTTCCCAAATCAGTTTTTATGAACTAACTAAAGGATCAGTTAAATAACAATTAATTTTGCATTCGGTGGCATGAATTGCTGGGCTTTTCTAGTTTCCAAAACTATACTTTGTTTGGCTGTAAGTTTTTTCTTGGCCAAATAACAGACAAATTACCAATGGAAAAAGTTTCTTTTTTTGTCCAAAACTACAAAAAAAATGGCTAAAAAAACCCAGTTTTTTTTGAATATCTGAGAAAGTACTTTCCCAAATGTGGAGTGGCGTACATCGTTGAATTCGTAATAAAATTCTGATTCCGATGGTATAAGCACCCAAAGAAGTTGAAATTTTGCCATTTTTCGCAAAAAATGACGATGTTACCCCTTATGAAAAAAGCGAAATTTGGGTATAGTGTAAAATGTATCAATCGGATAACTCTATCATATAGCTGCCATAGGGAAGATCAAAAAATATATATATAAATAATTGAAATAAAATTATGACGTCGTTGTTTTTAATCCCACGAGCATGATTTTCAAAATATTGAGTTTTATAATAACCCTTGAATCAAGAAAAAAAATTAATTAAAATCCATTTCATTAAAATCCTGCCATAGGAAAGAAAAAAATGAGAAAAATCTATATAGAAATAACGGAAATAAAATTTTAACATCGTTGTTTTCTACTCATTGTTTTTAGGAATATAGAGTTTTCTAACGACTCTTGAATTACGAATTAAATTTAATTAAAATCGGACAACTATATTATATAGCTGTCATATGAAAATTAGTCGAAAATATGGAAAATTTATACTAATATCGTCATAGCTTTCGATGTTATTCAGCTTTATGCATTTGATGAGCATTCATCAAATATAACTGCAAGGGTATATAAGCTTCGGCTTCCCAAAGCTAGCTTCCTTTCTTGTTAAATATATTAAATATTTCTCTTTCAGGAATTATCGATCAACGGGAGCAGCTGGAAACCGAAGGGCATGGCAAAGTTTCGGGCCAGATTCTTCGAGGAGGAGGTCGGCGATACAATATACTATAATCAGATACAAAAAACTATAATAAGATTATTAACATAAGAAACGAACTTATTATTTATTAAGAAATCGAAATTTTAAAGATAATAAAAACTAACTAATGAAATTATTGACTGTTTTAATGTGGTAGGCGGGTGGGGAATCAAAATGGTAAATTTTAAAAACGAATAAGAAATGTTGCATATCTTAGGGGGCTTCCAAATTTGAATTTCGGATTTTAACCTGGAAAAATAAAAAAATAAATAAAATAAAACTATCGAAATTGTAGCATACTTTTGGGGGCTCGTAGACAAAACGTGGTGTTGCTCCTGTTTATTTTTTATAGCATACTTTTGCGGGCAATTTAAAAATATTAAAAAAAGAGTAACCACCTACTATTGCATTCTGTTCGCCTGGTACTTCAAAATGAGGTTTGGTTGAATATGTTGGTATTGGCGGAACGAATTCGAAGGGACAAATTGTAGCATACTTATGGGGGCTAGTAGACAAAACGTGGTGTTGCTCTTGTTTATTTTTTATAGCATACTTTCACGGGCAATTTGAAAATATTAAAAAAAAAGAGTAACCACCTACTATTGCATTCTGTTCGCCTGGTACTTCAAAATGAGGTTTGGTTGAATATGTTGGTATTGGCGGAACGAATTCGAAGGGACAAAGTTGCTCACTGACAGAAGCTGTCTGCTATAATTAGGGGGCTGCATTTTCAGCCAAAATCAATACCAAATAATTGCTTACTGACAGAAGCTGTCTGCTACAATTAGGGGGCTGCATTTTCAGCCAAAACCAATACCAAATAATTGCTTACTGACAGAAGCTGTCTGCTACAATTAGGGGGCTGCATTTTCAGCCCAAATCAATACCAAATAATTGCTTACTGACAGAAGCTGTCTGCTACAATTAGGGGGCTGCATTTTCAGCCAAAATCAATACCAAATAATTGCTTACTGACAGAAGCTGTCTGCTACAATTAGGGGGCTGCATTTTCAGCCAAAATCAATACCAAATAATTGCTTACTGACAGAAGCTGTCTGCTACAATTAGGGGGCTGCATTTTCAGCCAAAATCAATACCAAATAATTGCTTACTGACAGAAGCTGTCTGCTACAATTAGGGGGCTGCATTTTCAGCCAAAATCAATACCAAATAATTGCTTACTGACAGAAGCTGTCTGCTACAATTAGGGGGCTGCATTTTCAGCCAAAATCAATACCAAATAATTGCTTACTGACAGAAGCTGTCTGCTACAATTAGGGGGCTGCCTGGTATTTCAAATTCCCCACCCGCCTACCACATTAAAACAGTCAATAATTTCATTAGTTAGTTTTTATTATATTCAATAATTCAGACATAATATAATAATAGCTAAGTTTCCTACTATATGTTTATCTTAACTTATAGTATAGTTTTTATTATTATAAGTAAGCTCCTTATGTGACTATTACATCTTATTATTATTTTATATTATGATTAAACATTATGCTTTTAGGTTTGTACAATTCAAATAAATTTTCTTATCATAAAACTAATATTTGCTCCTCGCTCTGCTCGTCCAGTAATAATCGTCGGCGAATAAGTTCCTGCTCTGCTGTGGATCTGGCCCAAACTTGGTTTTACATATGTGCCAGGGAGGCAGGGAAAAGTTGCTCACTGACAGAAGCTCTTTGCTACTAATTGCTTACTGACAGAAGATTTCTGCTACTGATATAAGATCGCTGCTATACAATTGTTTACTGACAGAAGATCTCTGCTACTGATTGCTTACTGACGGAAGATCGCTGTTATAAAAAAAAATCGATATCCACCTGCTAGGCGTTTCTGTTCGCCTGGTATCTGGTTTTCAGAATCGACCAATTTGGTTGTCCGAAACATCCAATTTGGCTGAAAAATCTTGTTGGCTTATGTTATCTACATTGGTTTGTGTACAAATAAGTAAGTAAACATACGTTCATGTAAAATTTTATTTTATTGTTTTCCAAGGAATTTTCATTCGATACATAGTTTCATGCTTAATTTAGTAACAGTTCTGTGCGGCAAAGTAACATTAACAATAGAACAATTCGAATAGCATCCTAGGTGTGTACAGTATTTACAAGAGAGAACATGGATTGCCTCTACGGCTTTGTGGGATTCTAGGCCCAGCCTCCAGCGGGTTGCCAGCCGCCACCGCCACCTCCTCCTCCAGAGGACCAGCCGCCCCCGCCGCCGCCGCCTCCATGGCCACCACCTCCACCTCCAGAGCTTAGCTTAATGATCTTGATAACCTTGGTGCCGCCGCCGCCGCCTCCTCCTCCGCCTGAAGACCAACCGCCGCCTCCTCCGCCACCTCCTGAGGACCAGCCCCCTCCACCGCCACCATGTCCTCCTCCACCGCCGCCGGATCCCAGACTAATGATTTTGATAAGCTTTACATCGCCGCCGCCGCCACCGCCGCCTCCTCCTCCACCAGAGGACCAGCCGCCTCCTCCTCCGCCTCCAGAAGACCACCCGCCGCCGCTACCTCCTCCTCCTCCAGAGGACCAGCCTCCTCCACCGCCTCCGCCGCCGCCCTCCGTAATCACTTTAATGATCTGTACATCTCCTCCACCGCCTCCTCCTCCATGGCCACCACCTCCTCCTCCTCCAGAAGACCAGCCTCCTCCGCCTCCTCCTCCGGAGGACCAACCTCCTCCTCCTCCTCCTCCTCCGCCAGGCTTTGGCTTGGCTGTCACACTGGCCGCTCCAATGAGCAAGAGACACACAAAGGCCTGAAAAAAAAAAAAAAAACACCATTTAGAAACACTTAAAAAAAAATCACGCTGCGCATGCGCATTTCTTTTAAATAGCAGGATGGTTTAGTAGTTATCCTGGCTAACAAGGACCCGTACTTTCATCGTTTGGAACGATCCGCTGGGGTTAACTAGTGGGTTAAGTGCGAGTCCGCAACTGACATGACCACCTATGGCAGCCAGAGCTTTTATACAAAACCACAGGCAACTTACCATTAACCGGAAAAGCTTGGCTCTCCAGAAAGCAAAAGGAAAAACCATTTTCCTCGCTCGCAGTGCGGTCGGCAGATGTTGGAGGTGCTGCAAGCCACTGAAAAATAAGGGAAAACGTGTATATTATTTTTAATAGTAAATAAATTGTAAAACAAAACTATTACTAAAGTAATTTCTTTCGAATTATATATATATTTAGAAAATGTAGTTGTTCTGTAGAAAAAAGTTATTTATTGATATATGAAATAAATTTGAGATAGTTAAAACATTTTTCTTCTCTGTCTCTGGGGTGAGCCACCACATTGGCGCAATGTGGGCCAAATGCTGCCGCATCATCGTCGTGAAGTCGGCGCCATTAGTCAGGGGCAGGATTCAGGGAATGGGCCTCACTTTTGGGTTGTTGGGATGGGGTGGCAATAGGCAAAAAGGCAGCCGGCGAAAGCTGCAGACAAGTCATAACTGCGACTGCATTCGATTGTCGCATCTGCAACAGTTTGCAGCCGGCCAAAGATTTGTTTGTATAGCAAATGCGCATCTCCCGGCAGACAAGTTACTGCTGCACCTTTCCCATTGCATAATTCGCAGCAACAGCAGCAGCAGCAACTGCAGCAACTGCAGCAGTAGCGCCAACAACAGCCGCATCAGGCCAACTTGCAACTTGTGGTGTTGTACAATTGATGCCATTATTTGATATGCATCTGGGGAATATCGCTGGCAATATGGCCCAAAACGATGACAAAGCCCGGCCGAGGCGATCAAACTGCCCAGCCGATTCATCATTTCGGGCGTGACGACTGCGCATTAGTTGCAGCCGCAAATCGCAGAAAACCAGAAAATCACCGCAGCCAAAAAATATTCAAAAATATGGCTCAAAGTTTGGAAAAAAATTTAGCAAAACACAATTTAACACGGTGGGATTGAGATGCAAATCAGGGAAGGGAAAACTCCGCATGGTACTTGTGCAAGTCAATGCAGGGAAACACATATCGTTGCTATGTGGCCAAATACAACTGCTTCGCAGTAAAAAAATAATTAAAAAAGTATCCAGACATCATCCTTATTCAAAAGCATTAAAAAAGTTAGGTCGTTGTTTTAAATGGGAAAGCAGGGACATTAAACTAACTAAGTAGGAAATAATTCAGAAGTTGCCCAAGCCAACGCTGTAAAATTAGGAGAGTCTTTTCAGCAATGGTGCGAAATGTTAATTTCGAAACCACCAGCATAAAATAAAGTTATACAGCCACTTTGATCCTTGACATTATCGATGAAACTTGCGGAAACATTTTCAATTATTTTTAATGGTCATAAAGAGCCTTTGAGAACTTTTTATAGATGTGACATTTAAACTAGAAAGAAAGTTAGCGTCGGCGAGCCGAAGCTTATATACCTTGCAGTCATCAAATTTGTGGAACAAAATACATAAAGACTAAACAACATAGAAGCTATGACAATTTTAATGCACCTGCAGATAGCATTATAATTTCAGACAAAAAAAAAAATATTCATAAAAATCGGACAACTATAGCCGACATAAAAGAAAGCGAAAAGTATATATAAAATCATATTTTTTTGCAAAATGGCCAAATTTAAAAAATTTTAGGTGTGAATGCCATCGGATTCAGAATTTTATTACGAATCCAACGATGTATGCCATTCCACATTTGGGAGAGTACTTTCTCAGATATTCAAAAAAAAAAAAAAAATGGGTTTTTTTGGAGCCATTTTTGTATTTCTATTTGTAATTGGTAATTTGTCTGTTATTTGGGCAAGAAACAACTTACAGACAAACAAAGTATAGTTTTGGAAACTAGAAGAGCCCAGCTATGTATGCCACTGAATTCACAATTAATTGTTATTTAACTGATCCTTTAGTTAGTTGATAAAAACCAATTTGGAAATGATCAGTTGACAATTTTGGTAGAAAATCCTATCTTTTTAGTGGTTTTTTGGTTGTAATAGGGCCAAAAAAGTGACTTACAGCGGAAGCAAACACGGTTTTGAGCACCTTATGACCACAGTTAACGAGCCCAATCACTTTTTGGACGATTAAAAAAAAAATGATTTTTGGCCAATTTTTGCAATTTTCATAAGGGGTAACATCGTCATTTTTTGCGAAAAATGGCAAAATTCCAACTTTTTTGGGTGTTTATACCATCGGAATCAGAATGTTATTACGAATTCAACGATGTATGCCACTCCACATTTGGGAGAGTACTTTTTCAGATATTCCAAAAAAACTGGGTTTTCTGAGCATTTTATATAGTTAAGTTCACATAGTATTTCGATTCGGATGGTGATGCTGATCAAGAGTATATATACTTTATGGGGTCTGAGGTGTCTCATTCACTGCGTTGCAAACTTCTGACTGAAATTATAATACCTGCGAGGGTATAAAAAAGTTATCAAAATTGTGAAATAAAAAAAAACAAATCAATTTAAATAAACTGATCCCCGCTTATTTGACATACTAAATATAAAGCAATACAGTGATTTATCTTTGGCTTTTTGACATGAAGAGGAGTTACATTTTTGGTTTTGCCACAACCTGTTAAACACAATTTGCAAAACGAAACTCCCCTTTTGCCGCATAAAAGCCCAGAAAATGGGGGCGTTTTTCGAGCCATTATCGGGGGCGTGGCCACACTTCACTAATTGCAGATGGTTCCTGAACGAAAGTGCAATTTCAGCGGCATAATAAATCCCGCATCAGCACGCCTTACACAATATGTACGTATATGTGTATAGTATTTATATATACAAATATAAGTTGGTGGAAGGGGCAGCTGACAGTTGGAATAGGGGAAAAGGCGGCTAAAACAAAGTAAACAAACTGGCGTCAATTGCAACGACCCAGACGCGAGTTTGCAGCGCAAGATGTAAGATGCAAGTTGCAAGTTGCTGCTGTCCCGCCAGTCGCTGCTCAAAATCGCAAGTGGCGAGTTGCAAGCTGCCAGCCAAAGATGCAACATGCATCCCGAAAGCGGTTCGAAGGTGAGAAAAAAGGGGCGGACTTAAAGCCCAGATCGTTGGATAGCATTGGATAGATATCAAACTTCAAAGTAGCAGACAACAGACGTTTAAGATCGGATCAATCAATGGATCGTCAATGGAATGAGGAAGTCATAGGTAAAATGCTTCTTATGAAGCTCACTACTTATAAACATAAAGTAACTATAAAATAAATAATAAAATAAATTTCTTTACCTGTTAATAGCATATTATTTAGTTTCCATTGTAACAGCCAGCCGATGCGCCTCGAGCAACCAGCAACATGCAACATGCAACGAGGAAGCGCAGCAACCTCGACCTATGGCAGATCACCAGTTGCGGTTTCAGTTGAATTTGGGCCTGTTTCCCAGCCGCCGACCTCCGCCGAGCCACCAGTTTTGTAGTGTAGTGGAGCAGCGGGTCAACGGGTCCGCGGGCTTTCCTCCTCTGGATAACAACAATGCTGCGCGGAGTGCTGGGGAAAAACGTGTTTGCTGCCGCCTCTATGAGTGATACTTTTACCTTATGATACTTTTGGTGTTTGGTATTTGATGTGCGGTGTGTATCCGTCCACTCCGCCCGCCCATTGTTCCCCACATTTCGGCATGTAATTTTCGTATCGAAGCTGGCTTTTTAGGCAGCCAGACAAAGCAAAGCGAGGCTGTTCGGCGGGCAACCTTCCCGTGGCTTCCGGATTGTTGCGTCACCGGTTTTCCTGCTTCGATGGGCCGATTCGCCGGCCAAGTAAATCACCAAATCGAACGCCGCACATCCTGCCCAGTACTTACGAAACGAACCACCAATCGCATCTTCGTCTTCGTCCATCCTTTTTTTTTCAGATCGGATCCTTGCCCCAAAAACGGGTGACTTTGTCGTACACTTTTCGGTTTATTCGATAATTATGTATAGGTTTCGTTATCGTTAGTAATTAGGTAATTTAATTAAGTTTAAAGTGATGCTCTCTGTTTACATTGCATGGGTTTCGTCATCAGTTGTCCTAAATTGTATAATTAATTTGTAATCTCTTCTCTCTCGTTTCGTTAAGAATTCAATTGGATAATTATTGCAAACGTTACACGAGTATATATACCACATAAATATATATATATATATATACGAGTATGCATATATATAGAGTTGTACGTACAAGTAACGCTTATGATGCTTAGACGTAGGCATATGTATGTTACGATATTATAGCTATGAGTATCCAGCCCAGAATTGAACTATTTATAGAGCCAAAAAAAAAAAAAAAAAAAAAACACTTTAGAACAGCACTCAAAAAAAAGTGTTAGGGGTAGGATAGGTTTTTAAGAGTAATTAGAGATAATTTTCTATGCGAAGACTAGACTGATTGATCGCTTTATACAGACCACGACTCTCTCGACTAGACATGCGGTGACTAGATGCTCGATCGCTGATCGTTAATGGTTAATGGGTATTCGTAAATCGTGATGGTTGAACAGACAAGTCCAAGGGGTTCTCGATGCCCTTCTTAGCGCCCTTCGTTAGCAACACCTTTCAGGTACTTGGAAAACATCCTCGTGGCTGGGCAGACCCCTAGGAACCCTTTAGTGCGGGATGGGTAGTGTAGTCGTCGATCGAAGGTCAAAGGTCAAAGGTTAGCCAGGGGAGCTGGAGCTGCGGACCCCAGGGAACACGGCACGTCACTCGCTCAAGCCGGGCGAGATCATGCCGTCTATGGGCTCCAGCTATTGCTCCATGATGATCGTGTCCTCGGACTTGACGTTGCCGGAGTTGATGGCCTCCATGGCCTTGCTGAGCAGCGTGGCGTCCTTCAGGCTGACCACCTGCACCAGCTGGGGCTCCTGGCCAGGGCCGCCCTGGATCATCATCTGGTGCATTCCGGGCGACATCGTGATGGTCTCCAGCTGGTCGCCGTTCTCCACCTTCGGGGAAGAGAAAGAGGAGCGATATTAGTAAACGAGTCGATGGAGAAGGGTTTTTAGCTGTGGTTCTGGGATCACCAATCATCATCAATCTTCAGTCTCTGTCTGGCAAAGAAACAAAAAGAAAGCATACAAATTATAAGAAAGAACATATTAGGGTGTAAGGTACATACTTACAATCAAAAATCAGGGCTAAATAAAGTAAATAAAGAACAAACATAAAGTATAATCGTGATATTCAAATTCATTTGCTGGCTTTATTCAGGATTTCTGCATACACAATACCCTAGCAGATAGTTTAAGGTCAATATAAAATAAAATCACAACAACAAAAGATTTATTCAATAAAGTTTGTTGGCATCTGCTCATTTGCACTTTGCACTTACATATGTAGCGCGTTCAAACATAAAATTTGGTCTATGCACAAAATAAAACATATAAACACAATAATAATGGTAATAGCAATAATGATGTCGATAAAACACAATAGCAATAATAATAGTACATAATGGTAATCGTAATAGTTATACGTCAACATAAAATTAATTTTGCACGCACTTGGACGGGGAGTATGTCGAATCGATTCGAATCGAATCGAATACCCCCTGTATATATAGCACATATGTTTCCCGACCAAAGCTGAAGAGCTCCAATGGCAAACTCATTCCCCCGATCGATCTCTCACGCATTCTCAATGCGAGTTGACTACATCCAGGGACTCTTGGGTGGTGGGTGGTCAATAAGGTGGGTTCAAGTGGAGCTAAAACCCGTCTAACATATAGGCTATCATATATATATTCTATATATTCTGGCTGACTGACTGGCTGTCTGATCCCTGTTGCTTTACTACTTACTGGCTAGAACTATCCCGATTCTACTACAACTTAGATTGGTTATATTTGGTTTGTGTTGCGCTCTAAGCAAGATTATGTGCACGTGTCTACAAGTACTCCACTACTTAACTACTAACAAGTGGCTATAACTAAAAATGTTTCAATGTTTTGTAGCTCTGTTAACTAGGAACAACTTAGTTTTTGATTTAGTTTCGATTTGGTTTTTGGTTTCAATTATCAACAAATTATTTGGTGTTCTCCTCCCTCCTCTAAGTTCTAAATTCAATTCGTACAGTTGGTAGCTGTGGTTTTCCCCTTGGCTCTACCAATTCATCTTCTATCTTTCTCCTTTTTTTTTTTTGCATTTACAATGTGTGTGTGTGTGTGTGTTTGTATGTGTGTGTGTCTAAGCCTAAATGGCAAGTGCGTTCGTGCGATTCCCTTTAAGGTTCTCATACAAATAGATTGGTTTTGTGCTAAGCCGCATTTGACTAGATTCGAGATGGGCTGGATTTGGGAGGCGGAGGGCGAGGACGAGGACCTGGAACTCTATCTATCCCTACTCCATGTGCTCCAGCTTGATGGCCGGCAGTTGCAGCTGCACGCTGGTCAAGCTGGCACTGTCCACGCAGCGAATGGAGGAGGCGGAGGCGGAGGCAGAGTTTTCGGAGTGGCCGGCGGAGGAGCAGCTGGTCTCGCTGGCCTTCAGATGGGACCTCCTTTTCAGGGAGGCCCCTCCGCCGTGCTTCCTCCGCTTCTGAGCCATCGCGACTCCTCCTGCTCCCCCATCTCCTTTTCCTCCAACTCCAACTCCACCTCCTCCTCCGCCTCCACCTCCTCCTAATCCGCTCTTTCTGGTGGATCTCGTGCTGGCCACCGGCGGCAAGCTGGGCGTGGCCAGCACTATGGGCAGGGGCATCTTAATGCTATTATTGTTATTCGCCAGGGCGCTGTTATTGTTGTTGTTGTTGTTATGGTTGAGTTGCCCGAAAGCAGGAGAGCCTGCGGCTGTTCCACTGGTGGTGGTCGCTGCAGCCAGGAAGTACCGCCCCCCCCGGAGCCACCTGCTGCTGACCCACACCGACTGCCCCACTGCGACGGCCCAGAAGCGCCGACCCCGCCGAGATCAGCGAGTAGCACTGAACGCCACTCCCACCGCCACCGGCGTTTCCTGCCAAGGAGGAGGAGCCGGCGGAGGAGGAGCCGGCGGTGCGGTGATTCGCACTCGTATCTACCTGCATGGGCGCCAGGCACATCGTTCCGTCGCTGTTCGTCTGGATCTGCTGCACGTTGGCCATCACGGACTGGTACATGGAGACGGGCACCGAGATCACGTTGCTCACCGAAACAGGATAGCCTGGAGGAAAGCAGAGATATTTGTTTAAGGCTCACTTTCCAGTTGCAGGATAGATAGATAGTTACCTTGGCCATCCTCGGTGGTGATGTAGATTTGGCCATCCTGCGTTTCGGTGAGATCCACGGTCATGTTCTCATGGCCATTGACGTCGGTAAGGCTCTGGACCGTTTGTATGGTGGCACCGCCCTCGCCTTGGTGGAGCTGTCCAAAAAAGAACGATATGTTATAGAACCGATTGGTATGCTATAGAAGAGGATCCAAGGAACACTCACCGTGGCAACTCCTTGGACCTGGGCAGTCGTTCCATCCGGCAGTGTGATGATGGGGTTGTTGGGGTCCACCTGGATCAGCGACACGGTGCCATCGGCGTTCTGCGAGAGCACCGTTTGCGTGGTGTACTGCAGGTGAGGGAAACAAACTGGGATTAGTATCCAAACCACACTCGAGGGGACAAACTGTGTGTCTAAGCAAGGTCAAGCATGCTAATTCGGTTACAAAAAAACTACAAAAATGCAAAAAAGCAAGCAGTACTGAAAGCAATATGTTAGGTGCATTTGTTTGGGCGCTTTGGGTTTTCTTTTTTTTTGTGGAATGGCAGAGAGTCGTATTTACATGTGGGAAGAAGAGTGCGATAGTTCGGTTTGAGGTGGATGCAAATAATGATGGGAACAACCAATAAGTCGATTAAAACCTGTTAAAAGCTGCAAAAGAGTGGCAAACAAACAAAACAAAAATTCATATCAAGTCGGGTTAAAAATCATAAGGGTCGTCGGAAGCAACAACATCGAGGATTTAGGAACAAGTAACACGAACAACAACAACGCAAGATTGAGCCAAACGAAAATCGGTAAACGAAAAAATTGGGATACGGTGTCGGGACTTGTTGGCTATGCACGTGGGTTGTTGTATTATTTAGTAGTTAATAATATTAATATAATTCTATTATGATTCCCCCAATTTGCTCTCAGTGATGTTCGGAATGCTAAGCTCCTGACTTTGTTTGCAGATTATAATCAATGATTATTCCCCTCTGTGATCCCCTCTCCCATTCCCGCTATTAATGACCTATCGATCCAATCAATAAACTAGTTCTTCGAGGAGTGGTAGCTCAACAAGTCCCAACCCGAATCCCGGCTCGGTTAGCGGGGCACAACGTCAACTGATCAACTGGTCAACTCGTAGGACAACTCATCCGGATTAGTACGAACATCAACGTCGCTGAGCGTAATGGGCTCGATGCAGACTTGGGCGTTGGCGATCTGCTGGGCAGTGACCGTCTGGCTGGCGCCCTGCTGCGCGTGCGAGTGCGCCTGCGAGTGGGCCTGCGCCTGCGCCTGAGCCTGAGCTTGGGCCTGAGCCTGGGCCTGGGCCTGAGCTTGAGCCTGGGCCTGTGCCTGGGCGGCACTTACGGCGGCGGCTGTCGTGGGCACTGCGGTGGCCGTCGCCGTGCCGCTGGCGGTGGTCAGCTGGATCGTCTGCGGCTGCCCGCCGGCCACCGGCTGGATGTGCACGGTGCTCGGCAAGTGGGTCGCCTGGTGGTGCTGCTGGTGGTTCTGCTGCTGCTGCTGCTGTTGCTGCTGCTGGTGCTGCTGCTGGGCGGTTGGCGCCTGGCAGATCTCGATCTTCGTGGAGGCGGGCAGCGTGGCCGTGGTGGTCACATGCTGGTTGTTGGTGCTCTGGATGATCGTCGGGGCCGGCGTGTTGCTCTGCGCCGTGTGGGTGGTGATCACAGTTCCGGCACTGTTGATCTTCACCACGTTCACCTGCTGCGGTTGCTGCGATTGTTGCGAGTTTCGGGGTGTATTGGATTGGATTGGTTGATGGATTAGTGCGATGGTATATGCTATATGCTATATGGTATATGGTATATGTATGCCTTGCCCAGAGCCAGATGCGGATTAGTAATTGGTAATGGGTGCGACCCTTTTCCGTACAGAAAGTTCTTTGGGGAAAGTTCAAAGGTCGGCAGTTCGACTCTTTGGAAAGAAGGTACTCAAGCAAAGAAAATAAGGCAGCGCACCCTTTTTCAAGGGCACACCACAATTCAGACCTCAAGTTTTTGAAGCTTCCCCCACGAGTACCGTACCCAACCCGAACCCAGTGGGAATCCCCGGAAGAAGTGGCTCACTCACATTGCTGTTGCCCGTTGGCGGCGTCATGGTGGTGACCGTGTGGATGGTCGGTGGATTCGAGAGCTCCATGTCCTCGTCCTCGTCGCCCGACTGCGAAATCAGGGCGTTGACCTTGTCCTCGTCGTCGGCGAAGGTGGGCAGCAGGTCCTCCCGTCCGTGGTACTTGTAGCAGTTGATCACGATCTTGCGCAGCGCGTGCGTCCAGCTGATCTGCAATGCGGAAACGATTGGAGAGGTTAGTACGGTCCAATTGAGGTCGCGGGGCAGCTGTTGTCGTTGGAACACCCACCCCACCCACCTTCTGCTTGTCGTCCTCGGAGCGCGCGTCCATCCGCACGTTCGCCCAGGGCAGCTCCTTGGGCCACCAGGGCGGCCGCGTCGACTCCCTGCCCCAACCCGGCTTGCCCCGCCCCGTCGAGTACTTCAGCATCAGCGGGATGAAGGCGCGCAGCTGCGCCTGGGTCATCTTCTCCACCGGCGTGGGTATCCCATCGATCACCAGGCCCGGGAGCTCGAACAGCGAGGGGTCGTCTTGGGGCGGCGGTGGCGCCTGCTGGGCCAGCGCGTTGTCCAGCTCGTCCATCACGATGTTCTTCAGGTTGCGCAGCACGTCCTCCAGCGGCTTCGCCCCGAAGACCTTGTAGCTGGTGTTCGGCTTGCCCGGCGTGGCCACCAGGACCACCGCCTGCTTGCCCACCCGTCCGGTGAACTCGTAGATGATGCCCCTCAGCTTGCGCAGCAGGCGGTTCTGTTGCCGCTTCCTCACCGACGGATTCGTCTCGAAGCAGTGCGGTCGCTTGCGCTTCTTGGAACTCGCAATGGCGGCCGCTGCTGCCACGCCCACTGGTCCGGCGGCGGCCAACTGGTGGGCGACGTCGTCGTTGACGGGCATGGAGCCCAGGTCTCCCTCGTACAGGCTGCCATCGCTGCTGATGAGATCCTCGTCCTCGTCGTCGGAGCCCAGGCTCTGGATGTCCTCCTCGAGCACCTCGAATTTGTAGGTGGTGCCGTTGCTCTGGGAACTGTTGCCGGCACTCTGCAGCTGGCCGCCACCGCCTCCTCCGCCGCCGCCGCCGCTCGTCGTGATGGTGGTCACATTCAGGCCGTTGCCCGAGCCGCCACCGCCGCCGGCAGCAGTTCCCCCTGCGCCGTTGCCTCCGTTCGAGGAGCTGCTGCCCGAGGAGGTGGTCGTCACCACCACATTGCCAGCCGAACTCCGCTGGCTGCCCGCCGGCGCCACGACCAATCGATAGCTTGTGGTGGCCAGTTTGGCGGTGAGGGGGGGCTCCTCCTCCCTGATCCCTGCTCCTGGTCCTCGCCGCTCCGCTCCGCTCCTCTCCTCAGACCTTCTTCACTGGACTCCCGAAGGCCTTATTCGCATGCGCAGTGTGATAAGAGCTGTTTGGAAAAACACAGAGAGCCATGTTTAAAATAAATACATTTCCAGGTCTTTGATAGCGAATCAAATTCACGAGCGGCAACAACAGGGAAAGGGCTAGCGAACAGAAGCTACCCAGTACTCGGACATACTATAAAACATTCGAAAGCAACGAAGAAAATGAGTTAATTAATTATACTAATGCCACCCTAATCTACGCAATCAAGCTGGTGTGATTAGCAGAATAGCCACTCCAAGTTCTTAGTTGCGTTTCGTTCACAGATGGTGGGTGATGTAAGCATTTGCATTCGTGAAATATTATGACACGTAGGAGAATACTTATAATGCATTCACCCCTGGCTAAAACTTGTTTACTTTTCTTAAAGGGTTGATTACGCTGCCCAGTTTACCCCAATGTGATGAGGTATAGAGGGTACGTCGGCGGCGACAACAGAACTTGGATCGCTTTTTCTGCTGATAAGCGTCAAGTGAATCAGGTCAAAAGCGCGCATGCGCAACACCACAAACGACGACAATAATAGAACAACAAAAGCGAACAATTCTGGGTTTTATAACAGAGCCCCGGCAACAATGTGTACACATGAGTATACCATATACACCATACTATATACTATATACACCAAGGTACATATGCACAACTGTTTGTAATTCGAGCGATCCACACTCGCAGATTAGCGCCGTCGACGCTCAAGTCGCATTTTTTTCGTAGGGCCCCAATGGATCGGATCGTATCGTATCGTATCGTATCGGTTTGGTTTGGTTAGGTTGGGGGCCGATAAACGGCGAGAACTTGGGTACATACGTGTACTATATGTAAATAAATATGGGGGTAAGGTGAGCAGAAGGCGCCTATGTGGCACAGGTAGTTCGAAAAAACAGAAAAAAGAAGAGAACAGACGAAGACTGACCCTGACAACCCGAAAGATACAGGATGGCATTCAAAAATATTCTCTGTTTTGTCCGTTTGTATTATTTAAGGCACTATCTTCTTTGGCTCACTATCTGTATAATTTCCACGCAATGAAAACCCTACAACTTTTTCGTTAGTTACAAAACCAAAATATTTTAGAACAAAAGTCTCCCTCGCTTTCGTATTCTTATCGTTTCAGTCATGTGCATGTGCATTCTTCGTTCTCCAGTGCGCAGAATCCCCAAGCTTTTTCAGCTCCAGCACAGATTTGCAATCTCGCCTCTCTTTCTGCCCCAAATATACCCGTCTCTTTCGCGTTCTTGGGGGCCGTTGCACGTGCGCACTGCCATAGAGCTTACAATTTGGGTACTTTGTTTTTCCCCTAACTAAGCAATATTTTTAGGTGCAATATATTTATTAACTGTTTAATTTTTTTTTTTTTTGGTTTTTGCTTGCCTCAGGGATTTTTAAACGACGTGTAGAGGGGGGTTCGGTTTGGGTAACTTTGTTATCTTTTATTTTTGAATACTTTTTGGATTCTCGTTGGTAATTTGTTTGAGCAAGTTTAAAACTTTTGGCACACACTATTCTTCTCACAGAAAATAAAAAAAGGAATTTTTTAATCGAGATTAGGGCTCCCGAACGAACCACTCGGCACCGCTTTTAGTGGCTCTCTGTGCTCAAGTTCTATTTGCGTTTGCTCAGAAACTCGCAATCCAACGACGGCAACGCGGCGGCAAAAAGAGAGAGCCATAGCGAGTGCGAAAGAGAGGGCGTTAGCGGGCACGAAAGAGAGGGCACGACAAACCACCCCATGGAGTGATTGCGACAAAGCAGCGACGTCGACGCAGTGAAAAATCAATACTGCGCCCATGCGTCGAAATCGCCGTCTGAGATGGCTATATATAAAGTCTGAACATCTCGCTTTGACTATAGCTTCCACAAAAAATCGATCTTCTCCCCCGCTTATAGAAACGATGGCTTAATGGGCCAAAGAAATGCCCTTTTTGGACTGGCACACAGAGCTGTCCAGCCTGTTAAAGTAAAATATGTATCCTTTGCAGCTCCCCCACTTTTGGCTAGAGGAGCACAGCTATATGGGTTAACAACACCCCATCGGGAAATCAAGAGCAGAGATTCAGGGACTGGAAAAAGCCACCCCCGAAAACCGAGAAACTTTCACCACCAGCGACAAATACACACGCAAACTCGCCCAGCTCGAAAGTGAACCCATGATAACACGGCCTTATCCTGGTTTTTTTTTGTATTTCTTTTAAACCACCACGCATGCACTGCTCGCACAACCCAACCACCCCCAATGTTTCACAGTTCAAAAGGCACAGCACCACCAGCCCACCCTCTTTTAGGGGTTGTAAGCCCGTTTCACTTGCGCGTGCCAAACATCCGTCGACAGTGGAGGCCCTGGAAAAAGGTGAACTCGTTTCTTGAACCGACTTGAAATCAGGCAAACAGATGACGCGATGGGATGGATATGGGCATGGATGGGATTGCACAGAGCAACCTGATTTTGTCCATCCCTCACGACACCTAACTGGAAGCTGGGCTAACTGGCCGTTTTATTTTTGGCAGGGGGATCTTTTGTGTGATTCGGAAGAGCATAAAAACGGAGTGCAACGTTTCAACTGAACGGAAAAAAATTACTAAGAATCTAGTCGTCTGACTTAAATATATTTGTTTTTATATCTCAACAGCTTAAATTTCATATTGGTTATCATTTGTCGATATTAACTAGTATTTTTAAATCATACAGGATTTTCTTTTCTGTGGGGTTGCGTGCGCAGCGCTTTTCCCTTTCTTAAAAAAACTGCGTCAAGGGCTCTGAGAAAAATGCTATAAGCAACGAGCTTTTAATCCGATGTCAAGGCAACTAGAGGACCAATTAAATTCAGTAACTATGACACTTTTAATTAGGCATTCGGTAAATCCCAATGCGTGGAGTGTACGTGAACACTCAAAGCTTGAAAAGGTACCATTTTTTCAATTCAAATAGAAGCTTCCTGATGATACTACAGAACTGAGCGCTTGCGCATTCGGCTCCTTTCTTATTTCTCTGCACTAAAATATACGTATGTATGACTTATTTTTGAATTTAAATCATATTCCACCGTTTTTTTTTTTTTATGTTTTAAATAAGGGAAGGCAGACTGCGCGCTTGCGCATTGGCTATAACTGCAGCTTCAATTATTTTCTTCTGCCTAAACTATTCGCCTTGTATCTCGCTAGCCTACCGATCTATTTTTATTTATTTGTTTTGAGAGAGCATTTGAAGGCGATTAGAGGAAAACATCTTTTGTTTTTCGTTACGTTTTTGCGACTACACAACTCTCACTGCAGCAAACTCCCACTGCGTCAGCGCACACACACCCACACAGGCGCATTGCTCCCCCACACTCAGAACAGAAATCGGAATCAGTGCGGTTAACACAGTGGGCGTGAGGCCCCTAATTGTGTGTTATCAGTCTTTCATAATACTATTACGTATATTAAAAGTATGTCATACAAAAACTATATTTTTCAGAAATAAATTACTATTAACTTGGACTTGCATTGCATATGGCTATTTTTATAATTTATGTTAGATGCCATTCGGTATTCAAATAGGAAATTAACCAAATTGGACCTTTTTATTTAGTTTAGCAAATAATTTAAGAAGATAATCCGTCTGAGACAAATCGACCCCACAGTGCGCATCTTCCCTTCCTTTCTAGCTCACCCTCTCGCCAATATATACAATCGATAGCTATTTCTATCTCTTCGCTCAATTGAGAACGGTTCTCTCTCATTCTCTCTGTCTATCTTTCTCTTGTTTTTTTTTGTACTTGACGTTGTCTACAAAGGCAATGATAACAGCGAAAAGCGAAAGAAAGACGAGGAAAAATAAGTTACGCATGCGGCGGTTCGTTTCTCGCAGCAGTGGCGACGGCGCATCAACCACCCCCAACCACCCACCGCCCACAGCCAAATGCTTACACCCACATACATGAGAACTTGGATTGACTGTGGCGCCAGAGAAAAAAACATATGCAAGATCATTTAATTTGCAATGACCATAAATTATCAAATAAATAATAATAATTATAAATTGAAAAATTATTCAACGAAATAATAGAAACATTTAGCTAGATTACCATTTTTTGAATTATAAAAGTTCTATTTAAGCCGCCTCAGCTGTAAACACAAACACAGGCTAGCCACGTTGTCTTTTCCCAATTGGAACTGTACTTTTCAAGTCACCCCCAAAAAAGCGTACCAACAGAGTGGTGTCCTCGAACATTGGACCTGATAAATCTCAACGAAGGCTGCTGCGAGCTAGCCATCTCTCTCTGTTTTTGGTGTGTATCACACAATTTTCCATCTTTGGGGGGTGGTTTGGGTGGATTTTGCAACCCCTACGGCCACAGAATCGCACACGGACACACGCACACAGATACAGACAGCTTTAAATTCGAATTGGAAATGCGTGCGCTATGGGTGATTCCAATTGGAATTGATAAGTGTTACGCATACGCCATGTATTGCAGTTGCACATGCACCACCCCCTTTCGCCGCACAAATGCTCCCTCCCCACTTTGTGTTTTCCTTTTTTTCTTTTGGTTTAGCTGGGGCGCATGTTTTAATTACGGACACTCGCAGTTGGATTTTCATTTAAGGCGCCGCTGTAACGGTAACACACAGAAGCACAGCCCCAAACACACACATACACGATTATCTAATACAAACAAACAACAGGCAGGCAAGAACCGTTAGTTTACCTCTCTGAAACTTTTGCGCACTCACAAATACCACTTAAAACCCTCGAAACATCTATGTAATGCATAAGTAAACCATATGCACTGTCGCAGTGGAAAATCGAACAATTTTCCAACCCCCCCCACACACACACTTATGTACGCACCTGTGTGCTGTTGTTTTTGTTGTTGTTTTTCCAGCTCCTTTGTGATAACACACACATATACCTACACCCAGGCACACATACACACACGACAAACGCGCGTAAAAAAAAAGGCGCACGCACACGAACGCGCCGTCGCTTTTGTGTATTGGTGTGTTTGCCCCTGCGCCGAAAATTTTGTGTGGCGTTTATTTATTATCACACTGCACATGCGAATATTCCGTGCATTTTACATTTGCGCACTGTCGTTTCGTCGTCGTCGCTCCGAAACTTCCCGCTCGCGAGGTACCGCCGTTTTCCTGTGTCCGTTACCCCGTTTTTGGCCGCTTGTCGCAGCGCTTTTCCTCGATTTTCACGCAATTCTCGCGTTTTAATTTTCCCGAGGAATTTTCGTATATTATATCGTGACAAGCAATCGATATGAGGACTCGTGACTTATCGAGCAGTCGATAGGGCGTGCAATTAATATCGCTATTCGATAGAAACTCACTAATACCACGGTGAACAGCGAGCGGTCACACTTAGCGGAAACGAAAAACCGATATTCAAACTACATGACCACTCATTTTTTTCTCCCCTTTTTTTATGTTAATCAGAATTAGTTTTAATTAAATAATGCTATTCAAAATTGGAAAAAAAAGAGTTAATAAGATTTTAAAACAGAAGACCTTAAAGAGTTTCAATATGCCAATATATACATACAGGAAATAGTATTAACGTTAGAACACGTTTTCTTAGTGTTTTTCTATGCTTATATTACTATTTAATATATTTCTACTGATCAAATACTACAACTACAAATCCAAGGACAATTTTAAGCAGCGGTTTATCGGAGTGTTTAGTGTGATAGCTATTTAAAGAAGACAGGGCTGCAATTTTGAGCGCCACAAATTCAAATTTAAATTTGCATTTTCTCAGAATACACAAGTTTTAAAATTAACCTGTTACTCTTATTTTTTTTTTAACTTAGATGAGTAATATGCATAAATATGAATTTATAAAAAAGAATAATGACTATTCTAAATCATAAATAATAATTGACGCATTTTAAAACACAGATGTCAGCCAGTCATTAAAATGTTTTTACATACATTTTGGCAAGGATTTTAATTTTAACAAGAAACACTTTCAGGATAAAAACTAAAAAAAAAAATAAAAGAATGGAAACACTGAAACGGTACTTTATCCGGCCCGTTGCGTTATCCGTTTCATCCCGAATATTCAAGGATATATATATCTCAGTCAGTTGAGCTGCAATTACACGTAAGCCCTTCACAAGGCAGCTAGCAATATTTAAACAGAAGTCAGCTAGGCACGCCAAATGAAAAACTGACATACAATTATCTTCACTTATATAAAAAGGATTAGGATATAACATCCTGGAACTACCGCTTGGTTGCGACGACCGGAGGCGACTAGCTCTGACCGCCGAATCCGCTGGGTATTTAAGCCCGACCGCAGCACCCTGACTACATTTGTTATGTTATGATGTCGTTAGAATGTTTCGATAAGCAGCTCGTCGTCACTCGAACACAGATTGCCCCCGCATGCAACTCGAAGAATCTTATAAAAAGAAACCACTGGCTGTTATCGTGCTAGCCTGTGCGGGTCTCCGGGATTTTTCTCGAGTTCTGGTTCTGGTTTAGGGTCTTATCGGCGAAACCACCGGAACTTCCCTCCACCCAAAAAGTATTTTTGATTTTGCATAACCGAGTGGCAGTGATCTTGAATTTCTTAAGAAATTATTCCTCTTGACAACTTGATAAAAGTCGAAATGGGTCAAACTTATGTTATGACTTTGCTGTTAGTGGATTCCAAAGTGCTTACACGTGGCACTATACGCTCCTTAAAACATTTTGAATTGAAACAAGTAATGCTTGCAAGAAGCAGTAATAGTTATACTTGACTACTGTACTTCCAGACACTATATAGTTCTATTTTACATAGAACTAAAACTAATCTGAGAGATTATGTAGTTAAATGAGCCATTTAGTATTTAGTTATTTAATAATTGGTGCCAGTTTGAATTCGATTGATATCTGAAAAGCAGCACGATTGGCACTACGCATTGTTTTGATGTCTGTTTAACCATTATATCACCTGCAGTGTCTTAAGCACTTACTTTATTATTGCCTGTCACTCACTCTACACCTCTATGTTCAAGGACCTTGGATGCACAGCACCCCCTAGCCGCCGCCTGCTTACTGCTCACCACACAAGGTCACGCGTTTTATGTACTATACGTACAATACACGATGGCCAACCAGCTTAAACTTTCCATACAGAAAAAGTTTGGCTGGTTGTGCAGTTGGGTATTTAACCTATTAAGGATTAGCGTATTGTTTTGCAGAGACGCCGGCCGGTGGGCAAAACAAAGGGCAGCACAGTTTCAAAACGAAACTCCGGTCTCCGGTTTATTGGGGGCCTGTGTTGTTTGGTTAATCGGTTTCGGACTTGTGTTTTGGCTCCTCGGTCCTCGTGGCGCGTTGCAAGTTGCTGGAATTCCCGTGTGCCACTGGCAGCCAACTGTCGGCGACGTTTGCCGCCAATCGACCCACCAGCCAGTCATCCACGTCCACAGCCACAGCCACAGCCACATCCACATCTACAAGCACACACACCCACCCACTGACCCACCGCAAGGAGTAAAAGCCCGTGCCAAAAGGAAAACACTACAGCTGTAGTACTGGTAGTACTGTAGTACTACGACCCACACCGACACACGCTCGTGTTATGGTTTACACTGTACCTAGTTCACATGGCGAATACGCAACGTGGACACGAGTGCGCCTGCGTCTGTTTTGATATGAAAAGACATTGTCCTCTTCGCTTTTTTTCAGCTCCAGCGGATTGATGAGCTACGCCAGAGGGATTGGGGTATATGCGCTTCGAACAATAAGACGGAATTGTATCAAGTTATATCCTAAGCTTACTCATTGGGTTTTAATTATTTGTATTATCTAAATTCCAGTAACCCAAAAGTTGTATGACTGAGGTCAAATATCTCGTATGTTACGCATAAAGTGTGTGATTCATATCCTGTTAATCACAAAAACGGCGAGTTTGGGATTATGAAAATAAATGCATTGCATTTTTAGTTACTCAGTTGAAAAATGTTGTTATTGTTAATAGTATTAATCAAGTAAATTGTTTATTCTTACCTTACTTTAAGCTTCTTATTGGTTTATTTTTTTGGATTCTGGAATACGTCTTTTTACTGTATTATTAAAAGCGCCAATGAAAACTATAAATTTGTGATAAATAAAATTAAAATAAGACTTTAGTGATAAGACTTAAAAAATTGAAAAATATTGCATTCAGAAATTAAAAATTGGAAATCAGTAAAATGTGGTATGATTCGCCACATTTGAGAGGGCATTTAAAAACAAAAATTCATTTTACTAAAATAAAATTTTAAGAGGTTTATCCGCTGAGATGAATAAAAATAAATATAAAAAAAGAGTGTTTTATGTTCCACTTTTCCTGCAAATTTCACGCCTGTTTGTTGCATCGCGTTCAATTGCCGATTACAGACGCCATCGATTATTCGAGCTGATTTGCCACGCCTCCCGCTTCAGGTCCTTCGCCTCTTAAGCTCGCAATGTCTAGGCCAAGTACAGTGAGGACTCCAAGGCCGGCAGTTTAAATTGATAACGGTAGCAGCTGAAGCTTTGAGCTTTCGGATTGGCAAACTTTTGCGGGATGAAAAACACGATAAAAACTTTTAAGCACAAAAAAAATTCCCTGGCCCTTGCATTTATTTCCGTTTCTTGTCTCTTCGCTTTTATCAATTACATTTATAATTATTCATTATGTATATGTATGTATACAGTATATGCATATATGTATGTATTGCCGTATGTAAATATTCATATTAATATATATTTATTTTGTAAGATATCCAGCTGCAAAGGTTCTGGCCTAGGAACCAAAGAAATTCGCTTTCAAAGAATGTTTACAGAATGTTTAAAAAATGATATATCCGATACAAAAAAATTGGAAAAATGGGGATTGGGTAATGTTATGGGGTTATGGATTCAGTGCCCTGTGTTCACGCCCACAAAATCCTTACCAAAAAACGTACCGTTTAAGATAAATTACTTCTGAGGGTCTACAATTATTACACCATTAAAAATTGAATGGTCTGCCTTCTCTGCCAAATCACTTTGGTATTTGACTGTGTATATGCCTCAATTATTATATAAGTTTTATTATTTCTTATGCAGTATTTTCTTTCGATCTTTTCGTTCTTGTGGACACGAGCACAGGCCCCAAGAAGTTAATACCGACGAACAATCGGGATTGCTAACATCTTAATCAATTCTACGTGGCTTTGCTTTTACTTTTTATTAATTAACGCACTGTGTCCTCGAACTGAACTGAATTTCGTAATTGAACCTATTTGGTAATTTTAAAATTGGTCACAGTGCGTCGCCTAACTAAATCAATTGTAATGGGAATTATTCTACGAATGCTCACACTCATACCCGTATTAATAGGATCTACTCACACACATATTCCCCTTTACTCTTCGGGTGCTCGCCACTTGGCCAGTTTAATGATATTTGATTAAGCTCTTGCAAGCGAATCCTACTTAAACAACACGGCTGATATACATATAGACACTCAATATTATGACCTCAGATTCCTAATTATTGTTGAACATAGCAAACAACAAACCTTTCGGGAAGGAAATATACCTATCAGACAGCAAGAGTTTAACGTACTTTGGCCTGCCAAAGATCGGGTCTACCATATATTGTATTTGAGACAACCACTGATACACACACACAAATATATATGCAAATATACGCTTGATATTGTACGATTTGTTGGAATTAAATAATTACATAAATTCTTTGACGATTTCATTTCATTTGCAACACATCGATATCTGTATAAGTTTAAGATTTGCCTTGATATTTCCTTAAGATTTTTGTATAGTATTTGTATTCGCATAGTAATTCGGTATAAGTGTTTTGAAGTATTTCTTGTAGCAATACATATGTATAATTATTATGGTATAAATATAACACTCTGTTTCTCTTTAGCTTTGGGTTTTCTGCGGCTTTAGTCCGGGTATATATTTTATTGTACCACAAATAAATTTCGCGTGTTGGCCGATGTATGCAACATAACAATTGCGTTTCAAATTGGCCCGATTAACGATTTGCATCTCAAAAGTAACTCTAAAACACGACTATACTTTTTCGTACCATTACATCTTTACATATATTTCTATCTTTCTATACTCGTACTCGTATTCATTATTTGCATTTGCTTTTGTCTTTGTCTTATTCTTTGGTGTTTTCATTGCGTTTTCAATCTTAACCATTTGATTCAATCTTGTTTCGCCTCGTATTAACCAACACTACAAACTAACCATAATTAGAAAACAAAAAAGCAAAAAAAAAAAAAAATCATGTACACTCATTACTTTTCTACAGGTATCGTCATGCCTTGTCAATCAGAGGGATACTCCTAAACTATGCATTTGCTTTCGGTTTCTTAGCCTTCACTTTCGATTCTCAACACTGGCTGCCGGCGCTTCGACAAGCGTTTCAACACTGGCGCCTAGGAGAAATCCGTTTCTAATGACCTATTGTCTAAAAAAATATGCTTTCGCTGTCCTTAGGGAAATATATACCCAGATAAGTCAATAAATATTTCCTGATCTGTCGGAAATGGGAAACTTTAACTAGACACGCACACAACAACCGATCTAAAGATACTCCGAGACACACACATAAAAGAATGGTCTTTCCCTCGATTTTGGGACTACATAGTTTCTGTATTTTTATCTGAGTAAATTATAGCTGTCTAACGATTCCATTTTCTATACCACAATATATCCTTTCCATATATAAATATGCTGAGAGCTGAGTTTGAGAAACCAGAGGCTTTGAGATAGGTACTAAAGTTATTGGATCATATTAGCAAGTTGGAGGTACATTTGAGTCGAGTTTGCTCTTCAAAATAGTGCGGGTCGATTTGGATAGATGTAAAAAGTTGGAAAATCGAAGAAAGGGAACACTAATCTTCAAGAGGTTTAAAGCCACTGCACTGAACCTGTCCAAAAGAATAGTTTAAATCAAAATATAATGGAATTGAAATATATTTAAGTATTCTTTCAGACACCATTGCAGTGACTTGACGCCTCAAGTGATTACGAGTGTCAAACCCAAATTTAATATAAGACCATATTCACCTTCTAGGATTCCCTTGGAAAAAGGTTCGACCCCTTCTATTCACCTTTGACTTGTGGCTTTTGGTAATTAGTTTAGTAAAGTAAGTCCCATTTTGTTTTGCGTTATTGGAAAAGTATTGAAAACCTTTGTGTAGGAGACCGTTTTAGTTTTGCTTTAGTATTTTAGCTGCCGTGATGCGACGTTTAAATCCCCGGATTCCGCTCCCGCTTAGGAAATGCTGCACGAGTTGCGCTTGGCGCCCAAGCTCCGCTCCTGGATTCGCTGGAGGTGCTGCAGTTGGGCAGGAGTCGGGGCGTGGGAGCCCCCGCCGGCGGAGGCTGCTGCAGCTGCTGCCGCCGCCGAGGTGGAAGCGGAGGAGCCACCGCCCGAACTGTGGTGCTGTTGCTGCGACTGGTGGTGGTGGCCGTGGTGATGGTGGTGGTGCAGCGGGGTGCCGGGTCCGTTGTTGCCAATCTGCTGCGGCAACGACTGGCGCCGACGGCGCAGGGCCGGACTCAGATTGTAGGTGATCTTCGCCTGGGCGAGCAGCTCCTTGAACACCTGAAACCGATGCCACTTTAGCTGCGAAATTCTTCGGTTGACAAGCGAGTTGACTCACCTGAGTGATGTTCTCGTTGCTGGCGGCCGAGGCCTCCACAAATCCATTCTCCCAATCCACAGTCACCACCGATTCTGTGGTGGCGTACTCAACCTACAAGAGAAAATCAGAGGTTATAGACTCAAAATAATGTGACACAGCAGAGGGTTTTTGTAAAAGAACTATTTGTTGTAGAAGCGAAACGGCAAACCGTTTCAGCGCAACTATCAAAAATTAACTCATTTCGCATACATCTACCCACAAGAGCACAACCTCTGCTATCCAAACTAAAATCAATTTAACCCCGCACCCCCGAAAAGGAAACACGAACTTTATTATTTCTTATCGGTAACGAAAATCCCTTTAGACGTCTAAATTGCGGCGATAAATGAGAAAAAGGCAACAAAAAATGGCAAAAAAAAAAAAAAATAAATAAATAAAGAAGGTAAAAAAGGACAGGGTCTTAGGACGGGGCTAGAAATTTGCTGAGTTCGAACCGAACCGAACATCGGGGCTTAATTCTTCCAAATGAACAAACTCAAAGAGCGGTTGTGAGCAACTACAACAACAAAAAGGCACGTGAACCTCCCGATTTTAGAGCCACCGCTCCCCTCTCAACCCACCCCCTCCTTCCCAGGTTTAAAGCTGCCTCACCCAAAAAAGGGGCCCAGTATCACAAAGGCGACAACAAAAAGTTGATTTCGCTTCGTTGAACAAAAAAATACACCCAAGCTAAGGCGAAGGAGCCCCCAAAAAAAAGGAGTATACAGATGGGGAAGGGACACCGTGAGAAATGAGCAAGACATAAAGCTTAATTTAAGAACTTGTTCTGTATTTTTTCAAATTACAAGACAATGAAACTGGAAATGCTCTTTATCGAAAGTAAAACAATTGAGTTTAAGCAATGATCGGTTCAGAAAGGTTTTCCACAGCGAATTGATATTATATATCAACAGTTTTTCTTTTGGTGTATAATGAATATGATGAGATGGGGCGGAAGACAACTAGGGGTATCGAGGGGCTAAGCAAAGGAGCGCGACAGTCTGGCGTTTGATGGCAATTTGCATTTTTATTACATCAGAATTCGGTTAAAGTCAATACACGCAAACGAAGAACTCACTGTTGAGAAAGAAAGAAGACAACAGTGCGGCCAGTGGGCCCCAAACTACTTATGCATAAATACGTATAAAACGTCGAAAAAACGCACCAAATAAGTGACAAATAAAACAAACGAAAAACTCCAAGGATGGGGAAAAGATAAACAAACAAATTAAAATTTATAAAGCCCCAAATGAAGTTGACCAACTGTGACTGTCGTCGGAAAAAGGAGAACAAATAAAAAAGCAAAGGGATTTTAAATTGATAAATATATAAACAAAGTACCCAAAGGAAAGAAGTGCCCACCGAATTGCCAACAATTCAAGAACTTTTTCACATGCCAAAAGGAACTTCAATTCCATTTAAATCTTATTCTATTCTCAAAAAAAAATACTTGAAGATAAATTAAAATTATATATCTGACAAGGGAAACCAATTTATAGAAAATATCTACTTTTACTTGGCAACTCAATCTTTTCATACTAAATATCATGATTTAGACCGGGGAACTCTTAGCTTTCGGTTGAACAACTCAAATTTCCGGTTTCATTTCAGTTGCTCGCATTTTTGTGGGCTGTTTTCGCTTTCAAGTTTTGACAATCAAAGCAGAGTTTCCTTTGCACTTTTCCGCCGCAAACTTTCCGGACCCTACCATATACGTACCTTTTTTTGCGTGTGTTTTCTTTAGTTTTTATGCCCGGAATTTATTAGAATCACTTTGGTGTGTGGCCCTGAGGCCAGAAATTGGGTAGGGAAACTTATGTAGGGGTGAAATTCACCGGCTAAGCGATGCTCACTTAAGATATGCAAAGTACGACGGCTTTGGATCGACTTTCGCATCAGCTTGGCGGTTATGATTATTACCACATTTAAGGTTATTTTATTCGAGATTATTTCGACCACGTGGCAGCTGATTGCTCATTGTTGGCGAAAACAAAAAGAATTTACGTATATGTATGGAATGTTATAAACATATTGCTTTGGCGGTGACCCATAAACATCTGTAAGTTGGGTAGTTCAACGGAAACGGAAAACAATTTTATTCCCGACGGTTAAAACTATGATATAATCTACAGCTTTTCAAATTTCCCAACATTTAAAATGTTAACCGAAAAGCCACTCAAAATATAGTGTTAGATTCAGTTCGTGATGCTGATCGAGAATACATATATATTCTTTATGGGGTCTGAGGTGTCTCCTTCACTGCGTATAAACTTCTGACTGAAATTATAATAACCTCCGCAAAGGTATGAAAACAGTATGAATTTCATTTGGTGGGTATTGCATTTCTAATTGGCTGTCGCCGTGTTCCCATTTAAATGAATCGCATTCCTCATTTCAGTCTGCCGTTGGCATTTTATTTATATTTCCTCTGTCAAATTCTTGCAGCTCGTTTCTTTCGGGGAAATTTGCTATGCAGGAGACAGCAAAAGTTCTGCAACTTGCAGGAAAGTGGGGAAAGGAACCGCAGTTGCAGTTCTGATGATGCCCGCCGGCTTTTCATATTTTTACCAAACCTCCTTTTCTGGATGTTGCGTACTTTTCACTAATTATGCAAAAGCTGTCAAGGGAAGAGCGAAAAATGATGGCACAGCAAGAAATATTATTTAAAAATTAAAACGGGAAGTCCTTAGCGAAGTTTTTAATTTAAGCAGAAAAATTTAAGAAACATTTAAAGTTTTAAAAATAAGAACTCTTGTTTCTTTTAAATTTATTTCTGTTTCAATCTTTGATTTTTCCTAGTGCTTCCACATTTGATGTCATTTCATGTTGTATGAGTTTCGCGCATAGTTTGCACTTTATTCCAGCGCGTCTGTCTGTTTGTCTGAGTGATATTTTGTTGCATCCCCTCGACGGCCACGCCTTCGTTATTTGCCACGCACCGCCCACCGCCCACCGCCCATTTTGACATTTTAAATGTTACAATTTGTCGTTGCTTCTGACATCCGAAACAGCTGGCCAGTGTTTTATGTTCCTTGGCTGCTATTAAACTGCACCACAAATAAAGTGAATAGAGTGCGCATAAAGTGAGAGCTCAAATTGTACACACAGTGTTCACACTGTGCTCATCATTTTCGGATTTCGGGGAGCTCGGCTGCGAAAATTCCGACAAATTGTTTAACTAAATTTCTTTTAGCCCCCCACGCTGCCAGTTTGAAAGTTTTGATTAAACTGTTTGTCCTTTTTTCCACCCTCGGCCTGCGCGCTTCACAAACTTTACATAATTGCTAAAAATGCCTCGTGTCCCGTAGCCAAAAAAGGACATTTTCCCGGGCAGAGGGGCCCGTCAAAAGTGGCAAAATGGAGCGGTTATTGTATAAACATGCCTTCGAGCAAATGCCACACAGAAGAGACAACAAACTGAGCAGTCACACTTTCCTTCTGCATGAATAGCAATTAAAATTGATGCAAATTAGCAGAGCGAGCAAACCAATGACCTCTGTGTGACCTCCTCTCTCAAGACGAGGGAGTTAGGAATTCTTATTCTACTTACAAGAAACAAAGAATATATTTTTTATGCAATTTTAATTTAGGTGCTTGTCTTGTTGTGGAGTTCATTTTGTGGCTTAAAAATATTAAAGCCTATGTGGAATTCAGGGACATGTTAAGGACTCACCTCGCGTTCTGTTTCTCCATCGGCCAAAAGGTCGATCTTGTTGCCAACAACCACAATGGGTACCGCAGTGGTGGCTTTCGTTTCGTGGATTTGGTCGCGAATTGTGCGCACCTCCTCGAAGGTTGTGGCATCAGTTACGTCGTATACAAGGATGAAGGCATCTGCCGAGGATATGGAGAGAGCACGCATCGCCGGAAACTAAAAAAAACAGCAATATAAACATACATTTTATCATAAACAATTTGATGACAAACAATCATTAAATCTGTTTTTGCAAAAATTATTTTTCCATTTTTTCGACATTTTTTTTCGGTAAGACCTGCATAAAATGGCCAAAAATCATTTTATCTTAACGGGGAAGGAATTTTCTTTCATGTTTCTAGGCCTATAAAAAAGTTTTTTTTAGATTTCGGGAAATTAAATTTTAACAGCCAAACCGTTTAAACAAATAATCTTTAAGCCTTTGTAATGCAATGCCACGAACAATCTTAATATGCGCATTTTCAACTTTTGAAACGTCTGCCGTGGAAAAATGCGTGGGCAGGAAAATGAGTTAAAGTGTTGAACAAGGAATGTAAATTACAGCAACGACAGCCATCAACAACAATTGTTTCCTCAATGACAATTTGCATATTATTACTGACACACATGCTGGCATACGCACATACATATTTGAATAATCACGGATAATAATGTAAATTTTGAGTTCTATGCCCGTTAAACATTTTCACACTTTTCAAATTTCCCCTCAAGTGGAATGAAAAAGCGAGAGAGAAAAAAAAAACTTCCTTTCATGTGCGGGTGTGCATAATTTTCTAATGTTCTCGCCATCGAGCCAAACAATTTCCAAAAGAAATTGCTGCAAAATTGGCGATATAATCACACGGAAGTGCTTACGCAGCGTTTTAAATTTTATAATTTTGCTTGATTTTTAGCTTTGCGAAAGCAAAAGTGATACTACGCACCTTCTCTTCGGCCTTCAGTCAAGTCGCAATTTTTTATTAATTCGTAAAAGAGAAGCGAATGGCGAATATTTGCGGCAACAGTTTGATTTCCCTTCATAACTGCATTTAATTGCATTTATTCGATACACTAAAAAAAAAAGTGTTTCCGTAAGCCTTTACCATTCTTTTGTGTAAGATTCTGAAAATAAAAATAAAATCGTTTTTGTCGTAAAAACTTAAATGACGACGATTAAAACTAATGGGTAAAAAGAACGAAAATCACTTTGCCGTGCTGCATATACAAAAGCCACCGCATTTTGCAATCCTAAATTCCTTAATTAATATTTACACAAAAGTGCGCCCCTGTTTGTCTCTGGCTTAATTAAAAGTCCTTCATGGCTCCGCCACTTTGGCCCTGACCTCTGCCATGGGAACCATTGCCGCCGCCCAGCCCCCTTTCCCACCTGACCTCTGACCCCTTGTCATTGCATGTTCACAATTGTGGCAGGATGCCCAACCCGAAACTGAGTTCGCATGTGTACAATTTGTGAATTGTGTTTTGAATCTTTCAAATTCCCAGGACAACTGGGAGTACTCCACCAATTTTTCGGGGAGCTATGTTGATGGAGGTTTACACGTAGAAAAACTGGGAACCTTTAAGAACTGATATAATGTATACACTAAGGTATTTCGAAAGATTGTGCGGAATTCAATTTAATTTTCCAATTTATGTCAAATAGCAAGGAAATGATGGCTATGTACTGAGGGTTTTTTTAAATGCAATTTCACTGAATAGCATATGAATCATGGCACAAATGAAACGAATTAGAGCCACACATACACAAACACGAGCTTAACAGGGGGAAAAGCGTGCGGAAAATCGGGGAAACTGATTGTATAAGGTTGGGGAAAAGTGGAAAAACTGCGGCGACAGTTCACTGGCATCGTCGTCGTCTTCAGCTCCGTTTTCGTTTGTCAGAGGGGAGAGGCAGAAACCGCAGCCGCAGCATTTTGGGCACAAAATACATACGAGTGCTGGGAAATTCGAATGAATGGGTGGAAGAGTTGAATTTAAAAGTGGGCGGTAAAGTGGCACGGTCCCAGCAAACTTCACAAAACACACCCAGTCCTAATGGCTTTTAAAATCATGTGCCTGACGAGTTAGTTTCAAATTGACTACGCACACAGGCAAGTCGGGAAATTGCGGAAAAGGGAGACCCCGAGACTAGTCCGTGTTAATAAAAAGGCTACCATTGAAATGTGCAGGCCACTGAGAAATGAAAACCCAAATGAAAACCCCAACAAGCGAAAAACAAAAAGCGAATGCCCAAGGAAACCCTTAAAAAAGAATAACAACAAAAAAAAAAGATACAATGGCCAACCAAGTGTCATGCAGTTCAGATAACCCAAAAAGCGAGAAAGATAATCCTTGACCTTGTAAATGAACTTGAACCTGAACCCGAACGCGGAGCCCCAACCAAATGTAAACGTTTGTAAATCGGTAAATGCACAAGCATTGGTTGACAAATTGATAACAGAACTGAATAAAATTCATACAACCCTATTCCTGTCCGAATAATTTCATTTGTTTCTATTGTTTTGGCTTAAAAAACTTATTCTGCTTAAATTTAAAGTAAACTTAAAAAATGGATTTCATACAGAATACACTTTAATTCATTTTATGTTCTGAGAATTATAAAACTTTCTCATTTCTGTCTAGTTCTTGAATGCAAGCTTTTAAAACCTGTTTTGTTAAGCGCTATTCTTGCATTCAGCTGAATCATTATCATGGGACTAACAACTTTTCTTCTAGGGAATTTCCCTTGAAGTCTTTTTATTTTTTTTCTGCAGTTCTGCTCCTTGTTTTTTGCCAGAGAAGCCGATGTTTTCTTCCCATTAAAAACGAGTTGGGAATGTTTTTTTTTCTGCTATTGTTATGATAGCTATGATATTACTGTGAATAACACGCCCAAGGTAGAGAAGAGAAGTCGAATGGTAGCAGCTCATCTCCAAACTCTGAGCCTCAAAAACTTTGGTCTCCGGCATTTTCTACATTTGAGTTTCCCGTTGCACATACGCCCTGTTGCCCAATTTACTTTCTTTAGTCGATTTTCCACGACACTGAGCCGCTTCCTCTTCTCGTCTGTTCTATGTTAGCTGCACTCAGAGAAATTAGCACCCAATTAGATCTATAACTGTGTACAGTAAAAACCAACTATCAATGAAGGACAGTTTTAATTGTGTTAATGATGTTTAGCTAAGAATTTGATTTATAGTATTTGGGAATTTCAATAATTTGTTAAAATTTTTGAAGTGGCTATTCTGTTCCTGATGGCATCTCTTGATTTCTCAACGGACTCCAATTGTGTGACCTTTGTTTTACTCAACTCGAATGCGTTTTCTAGTCATGGATGCCAATGGAATTGCGGGAAACCCAAAGACCTCCAATGGCAATCATTTGGCAAATACTGCTGGGGAAATGCAAGCGCGCTTCTGGTATCTATCGCAAAATAATCGCATATTCTGTACAGTAAATTCAGGAGAGGAAACGATGCAGCCAGTTTTGTTGTTCCGACCGAAGTTGATTCAATTTTGGCTTGCACAAGGAAATTGATGCCGCACTCTTGCCAATTGCATCCCCACTGGGCGGAGGTAAACAAAAAACACGCACGCTCCTCTTAGTTGATTCGGCTTTTAACTGAAACAAAATGCAGAAGCTCTAACTTAGTTCGAAAGTCACTAACTAGATTTACACGTGAGCTTCCATGTGTCAAGCCCTTTACTCATTGAATTTACTATTCTTTGCTGCCGCAAGTCCTTGTCAATGACACATTTTAGCGTCGGACAGGGGAAGGCTTTTTTCTAATCTAATAAAAACATTTATAACAGCTCTGTGGTAAAAGAAAGCAGGTTGAGATTCTATGGGAACTAATTTGGGCAACCCAAATGAAAAGATTTTTCCAAGCTTACTGTTCTATTTTATCAAAGCCATGTGAGCAATCTGGAAGTACTTTATTTCGGTTAATCCATCACGATAATGTTAAAGGTAAACGATGGATGGCACATTTTTATTTAGTTCGGCCCTTCCTTCTTTCAATTGCTCTGATGTTGCCTACAACCAATGATTTTACCTTTTAATTCGATGAGAAACCATCCCGAGCCCTGAAAAGCCATTGTGGTCGGAAATGAGGGCACAATATTGAACACAGTTCGGGTTAATTTTAGCCAGAAAAAACATATCTCTCTTAAAATACCATTATGAACTCACAACGTTTGCGTTATTGATTTGCAAAATCGAAAATGTGGAAAAAAAAGGGTGAATGAATCCAATTACATGTCTGACTGGCTGGCAAACAATGGCAGCTTTTTGGTCTATTATTTTAGGCCAGCCTATTTTAATTACAATTATCGAAATTCGGCGAATAAGAGGTATTTCGCAACTCGACTCAATGGGAAAGAACACCTGCGGGATAATTATAGACGCTTTCATATTTTAAGGTCGTTTCATAAATATATTGTTAACCAATGAATTCAGGTTTCTTTATATTAGGGTCGCTGTCAAAGTTAAAGACTTCAAATAAAGAAAATACACTACACATGTAGTGTTTTTATTTTCATACCGTTGCTGTACATATTTAAAAAATATTTGCAAATTGGAATCTTTGTGCAAATACCATTTGCAAAAAGGTAAACAGTGGAGTTGTTCGTCGTGTTTTGCCAGTAATTTCAGTTGCCGCTGGAAATGCGGAACAAATATTGATAGAGTCCTGGACCACCCCAGGGGTGGTGGACAAAGAGGTTTGGGGGTCGGGAAATGGGATCGGAAGTGTGCGTGAGGTTGTGGTGGCCTGCGGCCTGTTATCTTTTGGCACACGCAAAAATATCGCTCATACGCATGGTGGGACCTTGCGGTACTAAGCCAGCGTGAAAACTATTTGGCCAAACTGCGAAAATCCGGGGGGTTTATGGCCCAAAGGATAGCGTGGCTTAAAGCCCGTTTCTGTTGGTTAGTTCCCAGTCTGTTACTTTTTAAACTGGTGAACCTGTAATTTTCTACTTTTAATGCAATGCAGCACTGCATTGCAAGAATCCATTGTAAAGTGTGGAAGTTATGACACAAATATAATCAATATAACAACAGCAATCGTGTTTCAGTCGCATCGAAACATTTATTGGCTTCAAATTATCTCAGACCTTGTATAACCCACATTTATGAAGATTATCCGTTGCGATACGCGGTGTTCTACGGGTGGCTGTGTTTGTCTTTCGCAGGAATGGGGAACAATGCCGCTTCTTATGGCCACTTGGCTGCAAATGATTGCGCATCCGCACCGTGGGCCGCACAGATGAAATGAATGCCGTGAAGTGGGCTGGAGATTGAAAAAGTGCACTTTTCAAGGGGCTTCCCACGGGTCGAAAATTTGCTTCCACTCGCCATCATCGCATATATATAGTAGGTACGTATATCAGGATTATGTGACACCAGACTTGACCCGTGCTCGTGCCCCTCGTCCTGCCGAAGGACCACTATTAAGGCAACATGGTGTACACATGTACACACTGCCCCATGATGTGACCTGCCACTAGGCGATTTATGATTTTGGCTCGGGGCACTGGCACTATAGCCCGCCGAAAAGCCCTAGTTGTTGTGCCCCTCCCCCCCCAATCCGAGACCCTCAACGGCTCAACGGCAGGGGTCGTAAAATTTATGAGCAATGCGTGAATGTGTTAAAATTTATGCCTCGCTATGTTGTTGGCTGGCTAAGGCTGATACACAGCCTTTCGGGGTGCGAAAAAGGGTGCGGGGTCTTGTTTATTTGGGCATCCATCATCAAGCCAGGGTTGCGATCCGCCTGATTTCCGAGCTGATTTCAACCGGGCTCCCCTAATGATTATCCCACTTCCAGGGATTCGCTTGAGCTGCCTAGCGAATCCATTTCATTAGTTTCATCCTCCCATCCTGTTGTTAGTTCTGTGTTCTGTATTCTGTGGCCAATTCACAGGGCCTCGGTGTCTTTTGTGTGATTGCATTGTTCATAAATCGAACGGAAGATGCCTGATGGCAGACGCCAGATGGAATTTGCTATGCTGTATGCTGTATGGCAAAAAATAAATCCAGAGCCTCTTATTAACCCTTCCAAATAATTTCCCTTTGTTCTCTCAGTTCTTATGCGGTAGCCTTCTTACTGTGTTGCGTATTTCGCAGTTGCCTTTTACAGGGAATACGAACCTACAAAATAACAAATTTTTAAGCCTTCTTCGGTGTTCTCATTATTATTTTTTTTTTTGATTTTTTTTAGTGCAATCGATACATGAAGGGCTCCCTCATTTTTCGCCAAGGACACAACGTCGAGTGCTGAATGTCGAGTCGAGAGTCACAGTTCAGTTGGCTTCACTGGGCTTGCAATCTCTGCCTGACTGACTCCATTTGTAGCATATATCCCGCATTGTGCCTGCATTCATAAGGTTTATAGTGTAGCGTAAGGTGTGCCACGCCCACCACGCCCGCTGCAGCCGCCCCCTCCTGCTGTTCGTTTTCATGAACAAGAGCATTTCAATTCACGCGCAGCGGAAGTGCCAACGAAATTGAATCGCAGGCTGTAATTTCCGCTGCAGCCACCTGAAGGATGATGATTACGACGATAATGACCAGGTGCTCCTGGAAAAATAAGCGTTCAGGTAGTAAAGTATTCCGGATCCGGGATTCGGGAACCAGAGCCGGAACAAGAACCAGTAACTGAACCAGAACCAGAACCAGAACCAGAACCAGAGCCCCGTCCAGTTGTCCGTCCAGCTGTCGCCCATTGAAAGTATATTGAAAGCAACTAAATGCTGATGGCGCCCTGTTGCAGCCCATTAGAGCCGGTTATTTAAAATTAAAAGCCCTGCTGCTCCAGGACCTCGGGGAACTAAAACTGGTGAAAGTCCTGCCACAGGATAAGCCAGCCAGGGCACCTGAGCACCGTGTACCAGAGGGTCCCCTTCAGCCCGCCTGGCCACAAACAATTTGATTCACTTAATGAAGCCAGCGTGGAGAGTGGGTACACTCATAAAATTACTTGCACTTATTATTGGACACTGGAAAATCTTTCCACTCAAAATGGCAACAAGTAAAGTTAGTCAACAGTGTACTCATTCAAATTTATGGTTTTTCAACCTATTGAAAATCGAAAATAATTTAAATAAATATCTATGCTGGGTTTTCTATTTGGGTTTCCCTTTAGTATCTGTACAATATTTTTTTTAGAGTGCAGTGGACTCACCTCATAGGAACCGGCGGTGTCGAGGATGTCGAGGGTGAGACTAACGCCGGCGATGGAGAAGTTGCCCTGGTGCATCTCCTCGATGGTCCGCTTGTATTTGGTGCTGAATGTATTGTAGAGAAACTGGGTGATTATCGACGTCTTGCCCACCTTGGCCGAACCCATGACGACGATTTTGTGGCGGGCGTTTGCAGGTCCGATGGCGTCGTCTACCGCGTTGTTCCTGCCCACTCTGCGTATGCGTAATTTTCGGGTGGTGGTGATGGCGAGGAACATGGAAACATGGAAAACATGAAAAGCATGAAACATAAAACGTGACTTGAGTGAGTTAAGTTTGTGCAATTTAATTAATTCCCTGGCCTGCGCCAGGCTTTGGCTCTCCATTTTGATGCATGATTTAATAACAAAACCCCCCCGTCTGCCCGCGCTGCCAATATCAATGGGTTTTTCTTTATCCCCATGGGCGACTCATTAAATCTGTGCGCCACATTTAAAATTAATCATTACGGCAACATCACAAAGCGGTAACTACGAGCCGAACCGAAGGCAGAACAAACAAAAGGGCCCTCACTTTATAAACAGAGTGTATTTACTGGGTGAATTTACTACCTGGTATACACAGCACACTCGGTTAGTGCAGGTGGGTTCGTTCTGCCTGCAAATTAATTGGGAATCGAGGGAATTATTTGCCTTTAGCAGGGCTGTCAGCTTTAAACGCAGCTTAAAATGTTGCAGACTAAGTGGGTTTTAAAAACAGAAAAAAAGAGCTCACAAAGATTGCTTGTGTACTTTCGCAAACTTTTAACATCGTTTCAAAACAAAAAGTATGAAATACTGTTTCTGTTTCTAAATCACTTTTGGACTGATTTAGTGCTTCGTAAGTGCTGGCATCTTTCCGTTGCACTAGCACTCGGATTCATTGCCAAGATGCTAACCGAAATTGGGGGGAAGTGCAGGGGAATTTCTTCGAAATGTTTCTGTCTGTTTTCGAAATGTAGAAACGCCATGCATGTTGGACGAAGGAACTTCGTTATCTCAGCTGTTTTTGCTGCTGCTGGTTGACAGCGAAAGTGAGCAGGAAATATTCTGGATGGGGAGGGGGAGGGGGGGGGGAGAACACGGACATCGGCGATGAAACTCAATGCCATTTCCGGGTGGACAATAGCCGCAAAGCCGCAGAATCCGAGGATGACAGCTCCTCCTTCTTTGCCCTGCGAAACGATAAATCAGGAAAGTCCAAGGGGAATCCAATGTAGGAATCCAAGGAGCAGAAGTGGCATAATTGTCCCAGGCAAGACAGCTAACCAACAACGGATCAAATTTGACTTTAATAAGCGCGATTTTGTCTTCTCTTCCCCTCCTTTTTTTCCTTTTTTTTTGTTATTTTTCCTAGCACCTTCCTGGCATTCTTCAAATACTTTTTGAGCGGACGGGGAAAAACAAGGGAATACAAATAAGAAAAATGTAATCAAAGGCCCGCAGAACATGAAATTCTTGTCCTGACAGGCGAAACAAAAGAAAAGTATGCAAACTAAGGACGGACAGGAAAATGCTGTTTCCCTTTTCCCATTTGCCCCTTCCGTCGACCGCTTAAAATTTCTTGCATTTCTTAGTCCTTTGAACTTGATGAAGAAATGAAAATGTTTGCACCGAAAGTGAAAACAAAGATGCCAGTTATGAGTTGCCAGCTCATCTGGCCGACGAATCCTCCGGCGAGTCAGATCTGACCGCATTGTCCTCGAAAAGCTTTTCCTGACACTTTTCCGATAAAGTTCAGCTTAAAATTTTGCACGTCTCGTTTGGGTTTCCTCCCTTTCTGCTGCTTAAATTCTTTTCGCAATTATCCCGGGCAGCGATTGAAGTTTGGACTGCCAACAGTTTGTTACTCGGGTTATCTCGGGTTGACTTTGTGCTGACTTTGCACCAGGGATTCCCAATGATTTCGGTGCAAAGTCCACCATTAAACCTACACGCGTCTGCCATTTGTCACCCCGTAATACCGCCGAGATATTTAAAGTCGCCTATGTCGGCTTAGCTTTGAGTTTAATATGAATTTGTGGGTAGTAATACCGGTTGAAGTGTAATGAATTGGTAGGGCAATTCGTTCGGGATATATCTCGTACATGCCAGCTAAATGCCTGTTCAAGAGCCTTTTTACTGAATCAATAAAACATTAGAATGTCTTTTTATTGCAATTGGGTAATTTAATGAGTCATATAAGCTAACTATTACTTCAGGTGTGAAGCCTTGGGGCTGCGTCTTTTTATGAGCCTTGAATATTGGCGTGCTTGGCCAAAGAAGCATTTTCTTTTCGCGCTTATTCCACTTTTGCATACCCGTGTGCTTTATAACCAGTTGAGGGAAGTATACGTAAAACCCTGTCCACATGCTACTTTTAGCCTTTTTTCTGTTTTCTGTTTTTTTTTGTGTGTTTTTTGGGGCTTTACTCAGCCATAACTTACTTGTCACGCTTTGGTTTATCCTCGGCATTGTCATCCTTCATGAAAGAGGGCTGCAGGCTGAATCGGCGACGCAAGTGACGGCCACGCATCCTGCAATCCTTGGTATCCCCGGGTGTCCTTGTTGTGCGACTAGTACTTGTACTTGTAAATCAACGCCCCCTGCTCAGTGCTCAGTGCTCAGTGTTCCTCCTTCGATTCGGGCTGTGACGTTTTATTATCAGCAGTCAGTGTAAGTGGAGCAGTAACTGTAGCGCTAACTGGCAAACTGTTATGGCCACGTTAACGGTCGGTAGTTGGGTCCTTAGTCCTTAGCCCTTAGTCCTTAGTTTATTATTAGCCCCGCCAGCGTTTTTCCCTTTCCGCCGCCGCCGGAAAATGCAAATATTTGCTCTTCTTTCGCGCGTCTTACGTTTCGTTTTAATTACGTGACTCGATGATGATAATTTCCTTGGCAAATTCCCCTGTTTACCTGCAGCTGGAAAATGTTCTGAATGAGACAAAAAAGCCATAAATTACAGGGCCCTGCTTATCTTTCTGCAGCTGGGTGTCAGCATTTGATAATTGAAATTCAAGTAAAAACCGTTCGGTTAAATAAATAACAAATAAATACCAAAATGAAAAACCGGCGCGAACCACAATATATATTGCACAGAAAAATGTAATTTAAAATAAAGAGGAAAGAGCTGTGATTGTTTATTCAGTAATATTTAATACTCGACTGACACACTATCGTTCATCAACGTTTTTATTTGATTTTAACGAATGCTATAGAAGTGTATGCTACATAAGGATCAGCTGGCGTTTTTTTTTTACCCACTCTGATCATAAATTGTTAGTTTACAGGATTGCCTTTCTTGGAGAGCATTTAAAAAAGTTAAACTTACTCCGAGCTGGCAAAACTCTGGCTAATTAAACAGATTTATGTGGGGCGTGTCAGTTGAAAGCCCTTGGTCTCTGTCTTTTTCAGCTTTCTTCGCGTGCAGCGCTCCTACTAAATGCTCTGCTACTTATTTTAATTTTATGGCTATTTTTGTAGCAGCTGCTTTTGCTCTTCCTTAACTTTATTTATGTTAACAGTAGCAGGGTGAAACGCAGGTTGGCTGACATTAATGCGACTGGATTTACAATTGCCTGATTAATGTTGTAATGATCAAATGCATTTCAAGCCAACAAATGTAACTAAAGGTGCAACTTAACCCAACTTAACCAACTATCCCTCGAGTATTACCATGTGAAAAAAGAGCGTAAAATAAAATGCGAAATTCTTTCCGTTCCCTTTGAGCTCTGGACAATGTGCAACAAACTTCCAGTTGCAGCAACACGAGTTGCAAGGAAGCAGCTGAAATCGCTGGAAAATGCCTTGAAATCACTCAGCACTCAGAGCCGGAAACCTCGGGCAACTCAGGAAGCAGCCTTGCGTCTGCGAGACTGAAAAGCAGACGAAAACCAACTCGATTGTTGGGCATTATGCATTTTCTGTGGCTCTCAAAATGGATCAACTCACTCCATCCGGAAAACAGCACTCAAAAAAAAAAAAAAAATGTGGAAGGGAGAAAGTGCTTCCTACTTGCAATGCAATAAGGCAAACTATTAATTGCAGTTGTCAGTGAATTTAGAGGTTAAACTTTAATCAAAATAATTGGCTGACTTGTAAAAATTTTAATGACTGCATTATTGTATAAATATTTGTATAAATACAGTTTAGTGTTTAATTGCTATGATTTCTTATCCAGAGTTTAGAGGACTAATGTAGATATACATTTTTCGGGCGTTTTCCTTGCCTACTTTTTTAAACATTTAAGATTTGCCTTTGATAAGCTCCTTTGCTTTTTCAGAAGACTAAAGACTGAAAGGCGCTTAAGCGAGTCAGCTTTGGCAGCTGTGTGTGCTCTCTTTTTTCGTTTTTTTTTGTTTTTTTTTTTTTTTTTTTTGTGTAGTGTGTGCAGTAGGTCTTAAGACCAGTTGATCTGAACTGCCAGTGAAACTTTGGCTGCGGCTTAGGAGCCCAAAAATTTGCTCAAGTTAAACGAGTTGCGGCATATTGATTGCAGTCAGCTGAATAAATGGATTATCGTGGAAAGGGGAGGATTGGCAACTGGGAAGAAGGTTTTCGGTAGTTAAAAGGCGTTCGGAAATTGTCAGCGTTTCTTGTGTTTTGTTTTGGGGTCGCCTTAGTTCCCTTTACTAAATTAATTTGTTTAAATTTTTCGTCAGACTTCCCCTCTTTGTTTCATATCTGCGACCAGAGTTTGAAGTCTAGTTGAAAAGCGGCGGAAAAAATTGAACTTTTCAATTGGACTTGAACAATTCGATTTGCATAAAGTTTAGCACAAGTCGACGAAATTGCCAATGCAATGGTGGAAAATGGGGATGGCAAAGCTCAGGGGATGGAAAATAGAGCACAGGTTTTTCCGCTCTAGTTTCCCAGACTATAGAATGTTGAGAAAAATCTTGCTTAACTATTTGCAAATCGATATCTCTGCCCTTTTCATATTTTAGATAAAACTTTGGTAATATTTTTTCACAATCTTGGGCCATAAACCAATCAAACTCCACAATAACATAGGTTTTTTGAAGATAAATGACCTTGACATCGCTAGTCGAGGTTTAAAAACGTATTGAAGTGGAAATTAAAGAGGCACTTAAAGTATTTTTACAGGCAGTGTTAAAGGTGCTTTCAATGTAGCTAACCATTAAATTTATTATAAATAACATTTAAATTCAAGGTATTTTCTATTCAAGACGGCTTCTTGCTCCATCGTTTTCGTCTCCTTTCGCGTTGTGCTTATTTTATTATCTGGAACATTTTTCGCTTTACATTCAATGCAATTTATGAATAAACATAACGATAATAATAATAATAAATCATTGAATGCTGTTGGGGAGGGTCGTAAAACGTATTTGGAAATAAATAATCGTGAAACGTAGCGCACATAAAATGAAATAATTGAAATGCAGAACTGCCGAGGGGGAGCACAATTCGACAAATTTAAGCTGAGGAAATTGGGATATTTCAAGGTAATCCGAGTGTGTCGGTTTGAAGAATCCAAAGGAGTTTTGCTCCTGAAAGCTTGTGGAAAAATGTCTGTCGATATACGAGAATATTGCAGAGGATTTTCCATGAAATGTATTTAATGCAAAAAGGTTCAGTAGTTCGGACATAGATTTGCTGGGTGGCCCTTTCCCTAGAAAGTGTTTCTGTGGTGGGGCTCGTATGCGCCAGATTAGCAGGACTCCCCACGATCCGCTCTTCCCCACTTCCAGCCAGGGATCCTAATGTGCCACCTAGCCGCTGTGTTTACCGGAGCTCATGTGTGTGGGTGATGTTCGTGACCGGCCCTGAATGCACTGGCTCACCTGCCCATCTGCTCGCCTTTGCAAAAGCAAAGGCAAAAGCAAAAGCAACCCACCCACACCACCACCCAAGCATTCAGCCAGGTGCAGCACTAAAATTGAAAAGCATAAATACTTGTGTACATGTACTATAAACATAAAGCTCTCCCAGTACATAGAGCTCATAGCAGCTCTTTGGGCGATGGGGCTCCTGCGGAAAGGGCCACAAAGTGCTGGGTATGCCACCCCATATATCCCCCCACATACCCCCCTCATTTTACCCCCAAATTTTACCTCATTTCTGTCGCGTGATATTTAATTTGGTGGTTCCAGAGGGGTCCACATAAAAGGATGGGCGGGTATTAGCGATTACCAAGGGCTAGGCACATTATTTCCTCTGGTGGGATACAACTTTAAACTGGGCGAACACGGAATTCAGATTATTATTCAGTGGCATTGATTGTGACAGGATGGCCACGATTCGAACTTAAATATCAATAACTAGGGGTAATAAGGACATCAATCCGGGAGAGGCGTCGGGCGTCAGGCGTCAGGATGAGATGAAACGGAACAAAGGACAGCAACAATTGGCAGAGCAACAGGCAACAGGAAACAACAGAAACGATGGCCAGAACAAACAAAGATAAACTGCTGAATTCCTCTGGGGGGCCGCAAAATAAATTTCCTTTTTCTTCGTTTTTGGGCTTTTGCTTGGGCAGAATGCTAATGAATCGGGGGAGGTGGTCCCTAAAGTTGAATATAGGGGTTGTAGGCTGTGGAAATCTGATGAAAAACAAATAAACAATCAGAGCCAAGGAAAGCAAGGAGAGACGGAATGAAATCACACAAAAGAAACAAAGCGAGGTGTTTTTTTTTTGTTTTTGGCAAAAATCGCCTGCAGTATAAAAATATATGACAAAACAATGACAATGCAGTGCTGGCCTCGAAAACACAATTTTTTCCCGGTTTTTTGACTCTGATGCGTAACACCTAAATTCTGAGGAGGCTTTAGAAAAAAAAGGCAACAGTCATGCAAAACGAAAGCGATTCCGAGATCGAATTGAATTAAACGAAAAATAAAACCAAAAAACCCAATAGTTGATGATTCAAGATGATGTTCGTAATTTAATCTGTGGTTATTCATACAAATATATTTGGGGATATTTTCACAGAAATTGAAATGTTATTTTGGAAAACCTAGTTTGGAATCTCCAAGTGACCTTAGCAGTTACCAAAATAAGGAGCTATTAAGAGATTTACTACTTTCTACCCCCATAAACTAAGCCCCGTAATCAGACCGCATTCGGCATTAGGCCCAAGTCTTTGTGGCATTTCGCATTCCCGTCGCCCATCGAGTTAAACTTGTCGAAATTGATTTGAATATATTACACTTACACTATACAGGAGTTTTATATGCGTACACTTTGATATGTCGGAATCAGCAGTTGTTAAAGTAATTCCGGGTGGATGAGGTAAAAGGGTTTGGGGCTCTTTCAGATCGGCTTAATCGCAAAGCCGCAGCCAAAACGAGGGCTCAAGTAATTATAAATGCCATTTTGTGTCGGTTTTGTTTAGCATGAAGAGATAAGAGAGCGGTTTTCGTTCGGCTGGTTGTCTGTGGGGTTAACGGGCGACATGCATATTTATCATTTATGTAGGCACAAATTGTGTCTGTCTCATGAATGACACGAAAAAGGCAATTTAGGCAAACACACACACGCACACATTTAAAGCCCCACAAACAAGGGAGCAAGGGAAAAGGGTGACATCTTCGCCGCAGGCATTACAAAAATTTCACACACACTCGCCGCAAAAAAACAGAAAAAAAAAAAATATGAAGAAAACAGAGCACCCGCATTTTTAACAAGCAACAAATAAAAGAACTAACTAGAGTAGCAACAAATAGTTGAAAACAACAACCAGCCGAAAAAAAGCAACAACACTTGCTGGCTCTTATCATTGGCAGCAAGAATTGGGCCAAAAGCGTTTATAACTCAAACTCAACTAAAGTCAACGAAGTGTACACAAGGAGAAAATAGAGCCATGATCACTCTTTACTTTAAAATTTCAGTTGAACAAAGCGGAACTCCCAATTTTTCTAAACTGTTTGTTTGATTGTAAAAAGAAACCCTTATTTTATTTTCATTGTTGAATTTCCTCCTAATTGGTTATCTTGGGGAATTTTTTTTTTTGGTGCATAGAAGCCAAAGTCTGAGTTGTGAATGCTGAGGCTGGGGACATTTTCCACGAGGAAAAGCCAATGACCCAAAGCAGCCAAATGACATGCCGGCACACAAGCGCTGCTTATCAGCCATGGGCCATGTGTTTGGATGTGGATGTGGATGTCGATGTGGAAGTGGAAGTGGTGCTTGTTGCTTGCCACAGTGGGGCAAGTGGAAGATGTGTTTCTTGCATTTAGTTGAGGTTTCGCAGATTTGGGCTTGGAACACAAAGGTCATCGATCTGTTACTTGACGACTGGAGAACTTAAAACTAAGTTAAAAGGAATGAATGAAATATTGTGCACTTCATGTAGAATTAAAAAAAGAAAAACGCTTGATTTTCTTTTCTTTACAGTTGCCTAAAAACCCATAAGACCATTGTGCGATGTTGTCTTTTGTTTTGCCGCTCTAGTTTTCTGTTTTCTGTTTCCTTGGCTGTCAGTTCGCCAGTCTTCCGCTGTTCGACTTCATTTTCACGCCTGCAACAGATTCAGCTCAAAAACACGAAAACTACAACTCCAACAACAATAGTTGGCAGATATATAATATAACAACCGACAAGAAAAAGGAGCAACAATGACGTCTACGATTTGTTAGAATTTTTATAGTGTTGGAAATTATAGCCCGGATACTTGTGCGTGTACATATATATAAAAAACACCAAAAAAAAATGGGAAAAGGTTTTCTTAGCCTGGTTTTCTTAGCAAGGGTATTGCCAGAGAATAAAAAAAATATTGATGTAATGAAAACATTATTTTGAGCCATGAACCTGCACAATTGCCTTTCAGCGCATGATTCTTGCAAGTGTAATGCGTGCTCGTGCTAATGAGACAGTTTCCACTAGTTTCGTGTATGTGTTGTCTTGAATTTTATCCCCTAATGAACTGTCCCCCGACTTGGGAGCTGACTTGTTGCTCTCTGCTCCCCTCACTCCCCTCCCACTGGCGTACGTACTATAGAGTATATCCAGCCGCAAGCCATGCGCCTCTTCTGGGTGTCACATTGTCGTCGTTTCAATTAGGGGTTCAGCTTCCCTGCGACGACATCGGGGACGAAGGGGATTGGATTCGGAATTGGAATTGGAATATCTGAATGGATAGCTTTATTCGCGATAAGCGAGATAGGAAATTCGCAATCGCGTCAATCAGTTACAGCCCTTTGCAAATCAGGTGAAAATCGAATCGTTCGGCTCAAATTAGACAATTAAATTTAATTAACAAATTGTTCCAATTTTAAAAATGGGAATATTAAAAAAATAAATACAAAAAAGAGAACTCAATATGGTAATCTGCAAAACAATATGTAGTTGTTCTATATCACTCTGTTGCCGCAAATCCAGGGAAATCGTTCGGTGAATTCGCTCAGAGCTCTCTTAATCCCGCCATTTCCGAAAACTCAGGGATACCCGTGGAGTGGAGTTACAAATTCCTCGGGGAGTTAATCTGCATGGCAGTCATAACAATGAGTGGGCGATTACACACGAGACAGATAAGAGAACCCATATATATCTTTCTGCTGATTGAGCTGGTAAAACGGTGGCCCAAAAGAAATTTCTATGTGTGTCTAAGACAAAAGGCCATTAAATCGGGGAATAGGAAGTCGTAAAGCCAGCCATTAACAGATCCCAAAATGTACACTTAAGTGTTCGGGGAATTCCTAAAAATATTTGGGAAAAAAATAAGATGCGAACTTCCATCCACATTGATGAGTAATAAGTGTAATAATCGGCAGTTGGCCATGACAATGGTTACACTCGCTGCCAATAGAACGGTTTATCTGTGCGTAGAATAACATTTTATCGCATTATCGATTGCGATTACTCAGTTAATGAATTAAACATACACATACACGGACATCGGGGGAGATATATAAAACTCCTTCGGTGCAGTTTCGCCAAAAAAGAATCCCATTCAAGCAAAAAGCTGCGACAAGTCCGATAAGAAGTCAGCCAATAATGGCACAATAATAAATCATTGCCGAGGCATACAAACAAAACCACACAAAAAAAAAAATTAAACCAGCGAAACTACGCTAAAAGTTTGCTCATAAAATGCCTCGCAGCCAACGCGTCGTATGCGCAATGTCACCCAGCTAGTATAATTTACGATATCAAAATATCACAGTAAAAAAAACAACAAAAAACTTCATTGAATTAATTATGACAAGCGATGAGTTTATTTATGATCAATGTTGATTACAAATGAATTATCGTTTGCCAAATCGGATCGATGATGATGTTGCGGTAGCCAGCGAATATCGGTAAAAAATATTTTGGCGATTTGTTTCGAAACTTCAGTCAAGAAAATATTAGTTTATATTATTTATATTTTTTATGGTTTTTGATTTGCCTACTTTGTTTCATTAAGTATTGAACGAAATAAGTTTATTGAATCAATTGAACCAAAAATTAATTTTGAAAAGGTTAAAAGGTAAACAATTTACAACACCTATATATATTTTTCACTTAAAACTGCAAAGAATTTAATTAAGGATTTAAAATTATTTAAACAGATTCAAATTCAATTTTCGAACAATTTAAAGATTTTTTTATGTAGATTGCTACAAGGTGGTTTTTTTTTTGGTACCTGTGTTCACCAATTGTTTTCCAAATCAATTAAAATTTTGTGTTATAAAATCCAAGTTCCTAGACACTCAAAACACAGAAGCACAAGTTGAAAAAAAAAGATTGTCCACACACTGGGCGAGAAGAATTTGAATCTTTCGCTCGGTTTTTCGCTAGGATGCTCTTTTGTTTCTGCCTAGAAGTGGACTGTTTTGTTGGCTTGTTGAGATAAAAAGTTTGGGGCAGCAGCGATGGAACAACACGCTGCGTTGAGTTCCCGGGAAAAACTGGCAGCGAACCGAGCGTTACACTTGATGCATGCCCGAAATTGAAATCGCCCGACCGAGGAGACCATAACGAACCTCGATCCGAACCTGAGTCCGGACGACAGCCGAAGTGTGCCAAGGTGAGAGACGCTTTTGTTGGGTGGTGGCAAATGGAAGTGGTTTTTGGGAGGAAAAGCGCCACAAGTGCATGCCGAAAAACGAAGGAAAGCCAGCACAACAAAGCCGAAAGAAGTGAGTTTTCCATCTCAGTGACAGAGTAACCTCCTCTTCCGAATGTTGGAAAAGCGGGAAAGTCGAGGTGAAAGCGGAGCGAAGCTTTAGCTGAATGCAAAGCTTTTCCTTTCGGAGCTTTTCCGCTGAGCAGATGCAACAGCTACGGGATAGAGATGAAAAAAGATACATTCAAATGCTGCAGAAAGGTTAACTGAAAACGTTATGATGGATCGGAAGACGGAGCCAAATAAATGGCATATATTGCTCAACACAAATGATATATACTATGCCAAACGAGCACATTTTTTTTGAGGGGGGAAAATGTAAGAACAAATAAGCCTTGAAGAAAAATAACAGAACAGCAAGCCTTGGAAACTAATTCCAATTTTGTCATTTCTGAATAGCAGGCCTTTTTTGGACTAGTCTCAAAACAGTTCTCCTTTCACATCAGTTTTCACATAAGCTCCGAAGCGCCAAGTCAAATTATAGAGATATTCACCCTTTTTTTTACACAAAAATGCAACCGAAATCTTTTACAATTTCCGTGTTTTATCTACTGACATAAGTGAACATATATATATTATATATTGAAAGTGAACATTTCAAATTTTCTAGCTCCGTCTTGCTAAAATTTATTCCAGTTTTTTCACAATATTATATTGAAGCGGAAGATGGAATCGTAAGTAAAGCTATGTGAACAAAAGAACAAGCAAACTCCATGAAGGTTACCACAAACTAAGTGAATTGGTTGTTCCACAATTAAGTTTAGGTTAGTAACCTAATGACACACAGGCAAGGGAAGTAAGTCGGTCTGTGGATAACTCCCCGAGGTTTGGGAGTGGTGGGTTACCCACCCATCCCTTAATCCTGCGCCAGGACAACACCGCCAAAAGCCTCTGCAATTCCGCAGTGCCAGCGTCATAAATCTGTTTATATTAGTTGTTAAACAGGTCGTATACGCGACGTGCTTGTAGCAGTCGTCTTCAGATGCACTCAGCTGCAGTTGAAAGACGCCAACAGTAAATAAGATATCAGCCATTTTTCATCTAGGTTTTAGAGTCGACAATAACCAATGAGATAGTTGCTTTCATATAAGAAACCTCTTCAATAAGCTTATATTAATTGTATTTTTGTTTACTTAAGCAATATGCCAGTCAAAAAGCAGAAGCCGAGTCCAAAATTGCTAGCACATCGCATAAGTACCAAGGTTTTATTACCGACCGTCTGTGATATTCTTCAGGAGCAAAAAGCCGCCGACTATCTCGCTATCCGGGACCAATTGAAGGTAGGAACGACTCTATTTGATCGAAACCAATATCGTTTCACTGATACATTTACATTGGGACATAACTTTCAGATCAAATTGGGCCTGGGCTCCGATTGCCATATTCGTCAACCCTTACTCCGCACGCTGAAGAAGGGACTCTTTCAGGAAAAATTTAAAGTTAGAAATGGGAAATTTAGGCTTTTGCAGGAGAAACCCAATATTGAAGAGAAGTCGAATCAATCTGTGACCTTGGTAAAGAAAGAAAATTTTAAGAGGCCAACTTGCAGTGCCGCCAAGAAGAATACTTCAAAATTAATGCCCAAGAAGAACATATCAAAATCCAAAAAGCTAATTCAAAAGCGTGTTATGAAGAAAAGTGTCTGGACAATTACTAAAACCTCAAAAAGACGAAATCGTGATCGTTACGACATGGTGATAATTAATTTGACCATTCCCAATGGCGAGGAATCTTAACTTGAACTAAGAATCAGAGCTCGAAATCGTTCCAAAATTAGCTGATGCATTTTGAATACTTAAAAAAACAAAATATTGAAACGTAACTCGAGGAAAATTAAATGTTTAACATGGGACTAATGTGAAAATGTAACTATTTAAACTATGTAGTTTTTCTTTCATCCAAAACCTGTGCCAGGGACAACAATCGCAGTTGTTAACATGCAAATCAATGCCAGCTTTAACATCTTTCGATGTCACTTGTACTGGGGAATACTTGGGGCTCAGTTGGCAAGCGGCTTGTATGTGCATGGCATGCAACATTTCCGCTTCGTCGGTCCAGAGTAAAACCACCCAACCACCCGACCATCCGCCCAACCCACTTCGCCGCATCCCAAACATCTGACGCCGTTTAAGCAGTTGCGAAGACCTAGGAAAATATCAATCGTGATTCCAAAGTGCTTCAAACGTGGAAAAAACCGATTGCCGTCCCAAGTCATTTTGTTTTGTTTGCTCATTTTAAAGCTCTGGAAATAGTATAAATGTTCTTCCCGCCTTTTTAAATTCAAAATCGTTGCGCTTCAACTTGAAAGGGGTAAGTAAATTCTTCATGGAACGATGAAACTAATTCCTAGACATTTGTGTGAATATTTTCAAAGTTTGCATTTCGCCGTTTCCGCTTTTGTCGCGTGGCTGATTTTCCGTCTGCGTCTGACAAAAGTGTTTTCCTCCCACCAGCCCACCTGCCCACATTCCTTGCTTGCCTCTTTTTTCCCGCTTTTCCCCGCACCCCCCGCTGGACCCTGGGTGTGTGCAGCATGTAAATAAAGTCCCTTCTCCTGTCTATCCGTCTATACAAGCGCACGAGTGCACTGGGCCGAACGCGTACGTGTACACTTGCACAGGAAAAAAAATGTTTGAATTTAATGTGCATATTGTTGAGAAAAATTAAACAGAAATGCAATTATCCTATTTTATTGTACTATTTTATTTGAATTTCTATTAAATAAAACTACGTAAGAAATAATTAAATAATTTGTTATTCCTGGTAATAAAGCGTATAATCGCGTGCATTTTCTTCTTGTGCACGTGCACAGTTTAAGCTGGAGTCGTTGCCTGATGTGTATTAATGCCGTGCGGGTGCCACATGCCAGATAGAAACAGTTCAATCATAATAAACTCCCAGTCAATTTTTAATGATACAAAAAAACAAATGTGCGCCCCGTTCGCCCTCTCGTCACACGTTGCGGGTCAAAGGTCGCGCGGAGCGGTATAAATTGTTGCATATGTTTGAGCGCCGACTTAGGCGCCTCGGTTATTAACGAGTTTTCCTTTGGTATTTGTGAAACTGTTTGGGCGGACCGATCAGCATCTACTTAATTTTGTTTTGTACAAAGTCACTCTGAGATTGGGTTTTAAAATGCCTAAAAAATTGTATTACCTAAATGTTGTGTTTTGAGTACGGACCAATCTTAAATCATTTTATTGATTTACTTGTATGTCACTGAAACGAGTTTATTAATCCGGATAAGGTGTCTTTTTTCAATTGCATCCTTTTGTGGCCAGAGCTTACTGATGATTGATCTGGTTGTGATTTAAATGGTTTCGACTGAGCGCTGAATTATTAATGACGTCGTCGGATTACTTCGGTGTATCCATATCCCGATTTTCCGCCCAAAGGCAACGGCAACTTTGGGGTCTCGGCTCGGCGGTATTTTGTTTGTCTTACAATAATTTTATGTGGCGCACATAAAAAATTTTATTTCAGCTCGTTAGCCATGCGTATACCACCCGAGCACGAGGTGAGCTGAATGAAAAAATGTATATGTATAAATAAATTCGTACATAAAACTTTACGCCCAATTGATTTCGATTTCGTTTTAATGAATTTTGCGGGCTCAGCGGGCTTTTTTCACGTTTAAAGGAAAAAGTTTCCCTGGCTTTCGCCATCCTGGTTTCATCTAAAGGTTTTGAGTGCGTTTAGTTCGCTTTCAGGTGTTTACTTATTCCACGGCCCTGACACAGGCGTTCAATTAAAATTTCAATTATTAGCTGGCAAACAGAGGGGCGAAGAGAGGCAAAAATATTTGGCACAAAAGATGTTTGTATCACCCTAACAAGGACAACATGGCTTTATAAACACGTAATTTTAAATAAAGTATAGGATTCTCAACACATAAAGGTATGTCATTGATTTAATAATTTATTTTGATTTTGATTTTTAGATTCATTTTGCTTTGGCCTGACAAATAAGTCCGATGTGATAATTAAAGAGCATTTAATTTACGGCGTAAACATTGGTTCATTTTTCGTTCGATTACAGATTGGATTGGTTCAGTGGTCGATGAGCGATGCCATTGATGCCACAGGATTGCGGTTGGGAAAACGAAAGTATAACTCAGCCACTGGCACTGGGTAAACAATAAAACAAGACAAGAGCCACAGAACGGGCAGATAGACGTCTAAGTTGGCCGAGTTGAAATTTCAGACCGATAATTAAAAAGCCTAAAGTTTGCCATTTTTCAAGTGCCTCGTGCCCGTAATGAGGTTCAAATGGGTTGGTTGGTTGGAAGGAAATCCCCTTCATTTTGGCTTGGAGTCGAGTTCATTTTGCGTATAAAGGTTCGTTTTTGATTTCATCTAAGCAGTGGTCAATTCATCTACTGCTAAAGCCAATGAATTTAGTTTCTGCTGCTGCATTTCGTGTTAAAACTAATCAAATAAAGCAAATGAAGATGATATATACAAGTCCAGATATAGTACATGTGTTTGTCTGGCATCCTCATGTCTGGTATGCAGGCAGTGTGAAAATGTGGAAATGTGCCACAAGCTGTCAGCAGGGTGCTGCCCAACCAGCCACGCCCTCTGCCGCTAGCCGCCTACTTTTGTCCCCCGGTGGTTCTCGACCGCGGTAAGCTTATCGTGCATATGGGCACTACAGCAAGGGCCACAAAAATATGTACTAACCTCCGATACGGACATGGACATACCTCAAATCGGAAAAAAAATTTAGGTAATCTGTAAACCAGTTTAAGCAAATAAATGTATTGTTTATTTAAAATTCAATGTTAAATATTTTCATGTTGACCTTGGGTGTGGGTGCGTTTGACAAAGGCTGTTGGCAAAATGGCAAAACAAAACCTTCGGCAAAACCCGCATCTGTTTGCGGTTCGCCAGTCCGTCCATCCGTTTGTCCATCTGTGTCGCCATATCTACCCGTGAAACTCAATGCCGCCTTCACGGTCCGGGGGCGTGGCAAGTTGAAGGTGTATGTAGCCACATAGTACGATAAGCACCGTGGCTTTCGAGCACTCACTCATTGGTAAAGGAAAGGAAAGGCAAGCACCACGCAAAGCGCACTTCGTTTATCAATTTCATCGCACCGAAGTGAAGCGAATTCGAAACTGTTGCGTTGCCAGGCAGCAATCTGTATGTACAACCCTCGTAATTGCATTTTAATTGCAACAAATTCGATTTAAGTTGTCGTTTAATATAGTTGATGCAATTCCAGAACATCCGGTTCTGTGCGCTTATGATCTGTGACTGTATAAACGAGTGCATTCGCATTCTTCGGAAAAGGCTTGCTTCACAGTTATCACAGTTAGATTTTTAGTATTTGGTATATTCGGTTTGAATTATCTATAATATATATCATCATCTATAATATTTTTAATAACATAAATGCTAGAAATGGTTTTAAATTGTAGTAATTAAATCTAGAGTTTAGTTTCTTGCACATACTAAAATATTTAGAGATTTTCCAAGCCGGATTGGCCTGCTTGGCTTTCCATTTCTTCGGAAATTCTGTTGATTTATGATTTGATGATTTATGATGAGGCCGACATGCAAAGAAGCTGGCCGAATTGCAGAGCCCGGCCAAAGGTCACAAGGGGGGCGGGCAGAGGTCATGCTGGCAAGGGGCAAGGGACAAATGGGGAAAAGGGGAAAAGGGGAAAAGGGGCGTTGCAACGGACTAGTCACAACATTGAGCACATCAATAACAATAAGGCTAAAGCCTACGTGCATGGAGCAGCAGTTGGGTAAATCTAATTTAAAAGCAATTCGATTCCAGTCAACTCATCTCGTCACCCCAATGTTCCTATGGTTGCCACTTTTCCCCTTTATCCCCACTACCTACCATCCACTCCATGCAGCACAGTGGTTACAACATGCTCTCCTCCTAAGGATAGGAACCTCCCATATATCTGCGCCACACAAGTACGGCACATTCCTGGGCATCCACAGCTCATCGCTCCCATCCGCCATCCGCCAGCCGCCTGCTCTTGGCCCCGGCTTATTATTGACGGTAATGAAAATTTGATGATGGCCAGCCAGCCAGCCAGCCGACTGACTTTGTTGGGCGACTCGACTTCACTCGACTCGACTCGAATCGCCTTTCATCGCCTCGAATGCCTCGAGACGACTTCTTCTCCTTTCGCTTTTCTGGGCATGCTAATGATAATGACAATGACGATGATTGATTGATGTGTTCTTTTTGGTGTTTGCCTCGGCGGTCTTCTTGGCTTGTTGTTGTTTGTTCCCCGTTCAGTGTTCACTCTTCACTCGGCAGCCTCTGTTTTTGCAGCCCCTACGGAAGGCAGTTAATTAGTGCGAACTGACTTGGCACCGCTGAAAATTCAAATGAAGCGTCAAATGGTTTTCCCTTCATGGCTCTTCCCTTCGCTGCTCTCGCTCTTAAGAGCTCCCCCGAGGTTGAGTGGTTTGGTTTGGGGCGACCTGGAGGTCGGAGGTTGGAGGTTGGAGGTTGGCTTTCGGCTTGCACTTCTGTCAACAGCTCCCCAGTTGGCCTTTCAAGGCTGTCGGCATTGGGTTGCCCTCATGCATGTTTTTATGAGCAGATTCTTAATAACTCATTCAACTTTCTGGCCCGCCGAAGGGTCTCACACACACACACACACACACATTACCCTAAGCCTCTGTAGTTCAAGTCGGCAGTGCGGCAACAGGCTTGAGCAATCTTATTTGATTGTTTCCCAAATTAAGTTTCCCAAAAACAGGACCTTCTCTGAGTGGCTTAGTAAGTTGAAGTCGAAGGCTGGCTGGGCTTCGTTTTTTGGGTGCAATGCTGGCCAAAGAAATCTTTTTCAGGGTAAGCAACAAGTTATGAACGCTATATGGGGTTATTTAAAAAACAAAAACAAA